CAACTTACTTGGTATCTTGGTATGTCTGAATACAAAGGTTGAGCTACCGCCGTCTATCTTGTCATTTCCTCCAGCCGTCACGATTAAACATTCATTGTGTTATAGAAAATTGTATCCAATAAGCTCCCAGCAGAACTACCACTTTTTTAATTCTGTCTTTACGAAAAGCTGAAAGGTGACCGCTGCTTTAAGCTTACTGTGCATCGTGATATCTAGATTTGAATCTTCAGGAGCCAAAATTAGACATCACTTGGTTAGGAGGGCACAATTAATTACACCAGAGGAACTAGTATCTATGGCTTTATGTACAGGCAAAGAACAGCACACTGACAAAACCCAGTAACACCAGAAAAGCTGAGCGACACTGATCACACCAACACCTGTGACTTTTACATTTGCTGTAAACAAACATTTACTGGAATGGTCTGAAATCTGTGTTTTAGAACTCAAACTATTCGGTAAAGCGATGTGAGCGTAGCATGTATCAGGAGTGCGGTCTGTAAGGGGTCAGTTTAGATCTTTGAAATTCACTTTGAATTCCTCACCGTTCATACGTTAGTGAATAGCTCTTTCTGATTCAGACATTGGTTATTTATAAAGATCTGCAGTGTATTCATTGTCTCCTGTCCGAATAAAGGCCAGCCGATGGTGACAGTAGGTGTGCTGGACCATTTGTTAGTCTCTACACTGGATTATATATAGAATCTTCCACTTCCTTTTATACTCTGTATAAGAGCGGGCTTGCCACCACAACATCTATTTAGCATTTTAATTTTGACCTGTAGCTTTTTTAATGGTATGAGTATGACAGAGTATTTTATTTTGTAGCAGAAAGATGGAAATCCCCTGACACAGAGCCGAGCCCTCCAGCTTCTGTTTGACATGCGGTATATAAGTCTCATTCTCAGTTCCCGCTGCGAAGATGTGAAAAAGAGCAAAGAAGGCCCAAGGTGAGTTTAGTTCAGAAACTCAAATATCGCCAGATTGTCAAATCCCAGCAATTATCTAACCTTGTGCTTTGATTTAGAATTCAGCAAGTTGCTGATCAGCTTGAAAGTTGCATAGATCCCTTTGACCTCGATGTGTTTACTCCACACTTGAATGCAAACCTGAATCGCCTGGCACACAGAACGTCTGTAAGTTCAATACAATCACTGCGGGCGTTACCGGCCCTTGCAGTGGGGTGACTGTGAGTGTTACCGGCCCTGGCGGTGAGGTGACTGAGTGTTACCGGCCCTGGCGGTGAGGTGACTGTGAGTGCTACCGGCCCTCGCGGTGGGGTGACTGTGAGTGTTACCCGCCCTCGCGGTGAGGTGACTGTGTGTGTTGTTAATCCTCATTCTCAGATGACTGTGGGCAGTTACTGGTCCTCGTAGCGAGATGACTGTGGGCAGTTACTGGCCCTCGTAGCGAGATGACTGTGGGCGGTTACTGGCCCTCGTAGCGAGATGACTGTGGGCGGTTACTGGCCCTCGTAGCGAGATGACTGTGGGCGGTTACTGGCCCTCGTAGCGAGATGACTGTGGGCGGTTACTGGCCCTCGTAGCGAGATGACTGTGGGCGGTTACTGGCCCTCGTAGCGAGATGACTGTGGGCGGTTACTGGCCCTCGTAGCGAGATGACTGTGGGCAGTTACTGGCCCTCGTAGCGAGATGACTGTGGGCGGTTACTGGCCCTCGTAGCGAGATGACTGTGGGCGGTTACTGGCCCTCGTAGCGAGATGACTGTAGGCGGTTACTGGCCCTCGTAGCGAGATGACTGTGGGCGGTTACTGGCCCTCGTAGCGAGATGACTGTAGGCGGTTACTGGCCCTCGTAGCGAGATGACTGTAGGCGGTTACTGGCCCTCGTAGCGAGATGACTGTGGGCAGTTACTGGCCCTCGTAGCGAGATGACTGTGGGCGGTTACTGGCCCTCGTAGCGAGATCCACTGACTATGTTTATACTCTGTACAGGTCTTGTTTGGGTTACTGACAGGAGCCGAGAGCCAGTTTACCGGCAGGAGTTCTACTTTGGGATTGCAAGAAACACACAATGTATTTCCACTGGCATCCAGTCAGATACGGTAAGATATTATTTTTGGATAGATTTTAAACTTAGAAATTCATGCTTTTGATAAAATTTGCAGCAATTTACAGGGAAATCATAAGATAAACACATTAGTGAATTGTGCTGATAATGAATTAAAAATCAAAACAGAATCAACCCAAAAGGCTGTCCTTTCAGGTTTTATTACACATCTGTGCAGTATTAAGCTGTTCTTGTAGGATACACACGGCACCATCTCTGCAGTAATCCATCCAATAACTGCTGATCACCGGGAATATTTTAATTAAGATTAAATCTACTAAATACTCTCTTTGATGGTTTGAACATTGTCTTATGACAGCATTTGATTGCACTGAAATTTCAAAGTAGAGACCACTTATGGGCAAAGTGCAGGTTGACAGAAGACCGAGCGTCCACTGTCCACGTTTGTCAATGGTGGCAGTCGTTACAGTGGATAGTGCATTGATATCATCTTCTGCCCTGCATTTATTACCTGGGTTTTTAGTCCAGTGTTTACCAACAGTCCAAGTTTAGTCCGTATCGCCACTAGAATAAAACAGGGACATAAATCCTGGATTGTTGGTGGGCCATGAGGACTGGGTTGGGGAACACGGATATATTCGGGGAGTCTGTACATTTTAATTTAATTTACATTTTCTTCCTTTTTTCTTTCTCTCTCATAAGATTTGGGCTCCTCCCTCTCAGTATGTCTAGTTCACGGAAATCGAAACCATTGAGCAGAACTACGGAAGATGTGAAAATTAAGGTAGGTAAAGAATATAGGCAGTCCTAGTCTCAGTATGTATGTATATGGAATGAGCAGGAATGGTGGTCTGTACACAGAAGATATATTGAGTTTCGAGCTCTGTCATTGACCCAGTGGTGTAAATTCACATTGGTGCAAGCAGTTCTCATTACATACAATGTGCATTGAGAAATTTCAATGTTTGTCTTTCATTTAAATTGCATCGGGAACCCAAAAATGTCTGCTGCTATGCTATTAGTATGGTAATGCTGTGGCTAGCGATGGACTTTTTGGTCATTTGGCCAGCTTTACACCTCAGGGTTCAATTTCACAATGCTGTCCATGCACACAGCATGCTGGGACTGAGCCAGAAGGATTCTGGGAGGTGAAACACTCATTGCAAGATCTCTTCAAAATGTGCTGTTCAATGGAAGGTAGTAATGGTATAGTGTACCACGCTGGGCGCACGTGCTCTGACTTATTTACTGGACCTCATGCTTAGAATACCTCTACGGGACATGAAATGTATAGAATATCCATAAACCAATTCATTAATTTACAGAGGATTTTCAAAAGGAAACGATTTATCATTTTACTCCTGCAACGCGTGAATAGTACTGAGCAGCATTTTATGTTCTTAATGACCAGTAAAACGATGTGAACGTAGTGGGAATTTACCGCCTTCCACTAATTGCTTTCATAGAAGGTTATGTAGGGCGTTTCTAATGTGTCTGGAGAATATTTTGTGTTGTGTATAAATGATTATTTCCATGATCCTTTCTAAATGTTTGTAAATTCATTTCTATCTGCTATACAGTGATCTTCATCTTTAGAGATCGCAAGCTGACTGCTGGGGTATTTAATGTCTGCGTCTGTGTGCATTTCATTACCATCACTTCCTATTGTCAATGCAACTTGCTTGGTTTGACGCCGCTTTGCCCAGAAAGCATTTTATTAGAACTGTAATGCTTTAACTAAGAAAGTGTGCTGTGGAAACTATATTATTATATCTCACCACTGCTTCTTAACACTCCGTGTCTGGCTAGAGCAGTGCTCCCTACCCAGTCCTAATGGCACTCAAACAGTCTTTGATTTGAGCATTTCACAATTCTGTGCCATGGGTGCATTGAGGATTGGACTGGCAAGCACTGATGCCCTGCACAGGAATGCCACTTTCAGTGTTCTATATCTGATAACTGTTCTTCCATTTAGCTAAAAGGGGGTTTAAATGGATAATGACCTCTCCTTTCTTATAAAGCATGATATAAGGGAGCTGCCAGCCAGCAGATGGTGATGTGGACTTTAACAGGATCATGTCCTTTATGGATGTTGTAATGAAGGGCTAGTGGATTAGGCTAATTTTATTGCTCTCTATTGTTCCTTATTATGCCAGGCGGTCTCCGTCTTCTGTATTCTAAAATAGATCAGTAGACAAATCTGCACATTATGCTTACAGTTAGTTATTCCACTCTGTTATTTTTCAGTATGTCATTTATACAGGACATTGTCTTAAATTAGAGGGGCAAAGGTTTAAAAATATCAGGAAGTGTTACTTTACTGAGAGGGTAGTGGATGCATGGAATAGCCTTCCAGCTGACGTGGTAGAGGTTAACACAGTAAAGGAGTTTAAGCATGCGTGGGATAGGCATAAGGCTATTCTAACTATAAGATAAGGCTAGGGACTAATGGAAGTATTTAGAAAATTGGGCAGACTAGATGGGCCGAATGGTTCTTCTCTGATGTCACATTCTGTTTCTATATACTTGTTGGTTCCTGAAATGTTCTCACTTTACAGGACGTTGCAATAATCCCACCACCTGAGGAAGATCCCTTCCGCCCCGGCTCCTTGTTCAGACAGCTAGCCACGCAGGAAGAGGACACGCAGGCTCCATCTCTCTTTAAACTGGGTTGGCTTTCCAGTATGACCAAGTAACCACCCCGACTTCTCTGAACGACACTATACGCAGTGTATACGCTAATGTGGAAATTAAATAATTTTATTGTACAGTAATTGTTGGCATGGTCTAAATTCCTCCTGGTCATCTTGTCATTATTTTAGGTGGACACTCGACAAGTTCCTCTTTAGACAGCTCACATTCAGAATCTTTGTCCTGCTGTTGGGGAGGGCAGAGTTGGCGATGAGACCCTCTAACATTGAGTTTCAGGAAAAATAAAAACAAAACAGTCATTTCCGGATCAAACATGGCAATAAATACCTATTGGTTAGCTCCTTCCCTCACGGCAGAAAGGACAGGAAATAGAACTCTGAAATTGGTATAAATATATCCACTCCCTCCCCAACAAGCAGTTTAATTTTTCTTTTATGCTCATCAGGTGAATATTTGTCTGGCACAGCCAGGGTTCCGCCTCTAATCTCTGAAGACCCAGCAGCCCACACACATGTGTAAGAGTTGCCTCCCTGGGTACCCCCTTTAGTGACCGGAGATCTACGTTAAATTTCTCTGAGGGGATGACCGCAGTCCAGTAGATACATGAGGCCAAGTTGGGGCTAAGGCTCTTTCTCTGAAGACCCAGTAAAGAGCACTTCCATAAGGTGACCACCTGGGTATACCTCTTGTATGAATACCACTATGTCTGGGGCCTGCTTTAAACCTTCTCCCACTGGTAATGGTGTACAGAAGCCTATAGTTAAAACCATTTAGACTGTCAGTTGGTCAAATCCCCATTTTGACGCTGAAACACAGGCCAGCAGCTGTTCATCTGTCTTCATGGCTGTTTAGTATGTTTTTCCACCACAGGTAAGTGCCTTAATATTTTAAATTAGTCTAGTATAAGAAGCTGGGTTTCTATTTCAATTCCTCCCAGTTTCTTACATTTGGCTTCTTTCTAACAAATAGGTCACGTTTAGGAGGTTTTCTGTGAGCATTTAGGTTGATACGTCTCATCACTCACGTTGATAAATGTGCGTGAGTGGTGGGTTGGCACTTAAGAGAGCAGAGTTGAAGGTATTTTAAAGAGCAATCCAGCAGTCTCACAATGCTCCTGGAGTTCCTTCAAGTGTTTTGGTTACGCTAGTTGTCCATTATTGTGAGACCATATTTATTTTTTCCATGATTTGAACGACACATAAGGAATATGTTCAAAATATTCTAGGAGTGTAAATTCTGTTAGATTAGTTAAGGCAGAGTGTGTCCTGCCCACTTTATCCCAGAGTTATTGAGAGCCTGGAGGTTGGCAGTGAAGATCTCTGTGACGGTGGAGTCAGGAGAAAGGACTGGATCCTCCAAGGTGCTGAGACAGAGTCCTAGATATCCAACCATTGGTCCTACACTCTAGGGACAAAGAAGAAAGGTTGTGCCTCGTGATTTCCTAACTAGGGTCTCGTTTCTGTAGAAAGCAATGAACAGCTCACTTTTATTGCCAGGAAGGAGGGAGGCTTGACATGTTTTAGGTGTGGAGCAGTGCTTGCTGGACCTCCGGTAAGAAGTCAAACCTGCGGCAGTTTGACTAGATAGACCCACCCTTAGGGACCCCCTCCCGCCGGACTCTGGGGAGAGGAAGGGGTTAAACACTCACCTTTCTCCAGTGCTGGGTGGGGAGCTCTCCTCCTCCTCTCCGGCTGAATGCGCATGCGTGGCAGGAGCTGCGCGCGCATTCAGCCAGTCTCATAGGAAAGCATTCATAATGCTTTCCTATGGACGCTGGCGTCTTCTCACAGTGAGAAGCACGCAAACGCATCTAGCAGCTGTTAATGAGACAGCCACTATAGGCTTTAGAGGCTGGATTAACCTATTTATAAACCTAGCAGTTTCTCTGAAACTGCTAGGTTTATAAAAAAAAAAATGGGTTAACCCTAGCTGGACTAGGCACCCAGACCACTTCATTAAGATGAAGTGGTCTGGGTGCCTAGAGTGGTCCTTTAATAGTTTGTTTCCAGACCCTCTTTGTGGAAATTTACTTACCTTTTCTTTCTCTCTCACAGCATCTCGCCTCCCTGGCTGAGATAATCCAGTGTTTTCCCATAGGAAAGAATTGGGATACCAGTGAGGACGCTGTGCTGCACCAATTGGATGGTCTCAGTAAGACTGTCTGTTAGAAATGGCTGCATTTCAGTTGGCCATTTCGTTGGAAGCGCCTCTAGTGGATGGCTGTGAGCGATGCTAGAGGCATGTGAATCCTGCGACATAAACTGCTGCTCCTACAGAATTTCAGTGTTTAATTATGTATTTGTGGTCGGGGACAAAAGCTGTGGAATAAGTGTGTAACGGATCGCCCGGCACCCCGACTGGGTACCTCCGTTAAAGGATGCTCCTAGCGCTTCCTGAGGACTCCAAGCACTGCAGCAGACACCACAACCACTGAACCGTAGGAGCATATGAATGCTATCAAGCATATGAATGCTGTAGACCGTTGAATAGGAACCATACGAATAGGTTTACTCTCCTAGCAGTCAAACTGGAACAGCATACAATAAATCCTTCCCCCAATAATGAGACGACACTTCACTTTGAGGGTTAAAACAGGAACTCCCTGTACTGTCACATACAGTCTCTTTTATTCCCAATCCACAAACATAATACAGCCCACAGGGCGTTACAAAACAACCAATCAATCCATACAATACACCCAGACACTCCCACACAAAATCCTCCCCTCTGCAGGTGATATGATTACTGAACACAATGGGTAATCTCATTATCACCGGCAGAGGAATACAGTTTTTACACAATATTTATAACTTCTAAAATATACATGTCACAAACATAAAACATACATTTTCATAATCAATCCATTCAGGGGAACAACATATTAAAAAATGGCACGAATCAGACCAGGGGTTCAAAAGTTAAGGGAAAGTCCTTTGTGACTAAATGAAGCATGGCTTTCTGGCCCAAACCAGTTTCAGAGTCTTCTATCCTGGAGAGTAATTAAATTATCTCCCAGGATAGACACAAGACTCCATTAAGCACATGGTTGCAAAAAGACACAAAACACTTTAAAATACATAAAGTCACATTTACACATAACACACAGACATTTCACATATCCCCAGATAGCTGGGATCTGAGTGCACATTATTAGATGAATGGCACTCAGATCACACAAATAAGCCTTTCTGCAGGGGAAATAAACGGTTTAACCTGCAGGGCCATAGTCCAAAGGGAACAGGCGAGCAACCAGGCTTCTCCAGTTCACAGTGGCGAGGTTGGTTTCGCCACAAAGTGGTTTTAACACTATAGGGTCAGAAATACATGCTTGTGTTCCTTTAATCACCTCCTGTTCATGTAAAGGGAACAGGCGCTGTGGTGTGCCGGAACTGAGGTGTGAAGCAGCAATTAAATAAAAAAAGGCGCGTAGCTCCACCCCAAAGACTGCATCCCTGGCAATAACTATAACAGAACTAGGAGCCTTCCCATTGAGATAACATGAAATGGACAAACCAGCGCGGAAAATAAAAGCTATATCCACTATTAGCAGGGCATACAATGTTTTATTATTGACGATTGGACACGAAGGAGGTTGGACTGATTAATGGCTAGTATGCAATTTGTACAGAGGTAACCAGGTACTGTAACATCACCTGTATGGTGGTATTGGGGCCCCCCACATCTAACTGTGGGAATGTAGCTTGATGGTAATCTGGAAATGTGTTAATCGAGTTATTGCGATAAGTGGGTAGCGGTATATAGGTGACTGAAGAAAAATAAACCTAATTTTAAAACTAATTGGAACCAATGCATTGAATAGAGGTACTAATCCAAGTTTGTCTAACCACCTTCAAATAGTATTATCCAGTCTGTGTTCCGTGATTGGCGCTAAATCAATTAGGTTGCGTGAGTGATAGGACATTCCTTACTTACAGTTACCATTGAACAAAAATGCTTTGTGAGCTTTAGAGGTGGTATAACCTGGAAACGTAGGCAGGGTTGAGATGTATCTTATGTCAAGACAGCAGTAGGACATGTCTAGCATGGAGGTGGATAGTGTCAGGTGGCGTAGAAGTAAGCTTCTGGGAACAGGCAAACAAGGAGGCTACAACAGCTCCTGTCTCCCAGAATAGAGGAGTATGAACAGGCTGGTAAATCCCTCTCACAACTGCAGGCTTAACACCTTTTTCATATATTTAAAAAGAACAAAACTGCCATTTTATTTTTATTTTTTTTACTTCAAGTTTGTAGAGAACCAAAGAACTATTTGAAAACGCACCTCAAACCTTTCCATGTACTGGTAGCATTTATTGGTGGCAGTCCTTAGAGATGTAATGACGACGTTGCAGGCAGTAAAAATGAGCTTCCTTCAGCATCGTATTGATGTGGACGTAATAACTCTGAGCATGGTAAGGTGGCTCTGATGAAGAGTTATGCTGTGGGGTCACATCCCGAGTTTCTAAGGCATTTGTACTTGTGCTATGTGAAAACTGGAGAGAAAAATAAATATTAAAACCTATAACCAGACACAACAAACTACATCTGGTGCTGGCTAAGCTCTGGCACGGTGCTATATCATTACAATAACGTTTAATTAAAGAATTCTAATCTGACCCATCAATGCTAACGGGGGAATGATCAAGACAGGTATATTTCCAAAACTTGGGAAAAGGTAACAGTAATAACATTGATCCATTTCCAGCATCCCATGAAGAAGTACCTCTTAAGTCAAAACTCCAATGTTCAATTATGTATTTGTGGTCGGGGACAAAAGCCATGGCATAAGGATATAGGTAAAAGGAACAGGCGCTGTGGTGTGCTGGAACAGATGTGTAAAGCAACAAGTAAAATAAAAATGGCTTCTTAATATTTCTGTTCTCTCTCATTTTTACTGAGGACATCACTTGACTACCTTACCTTCTCCCTATTCATGCTTCTTTGGTCAGAATGCTTGGTTGTATAGGGAGAGATATTAGCAGTAGAAAGAGGGAAGTGCTCATGCCATTGTACAGAACACTGGTGAGACCTCACTTGGAGTATTGTACACAGTAATGGAGACCGTATCTTCAGAAGGATATTGATACCTTAGAGAGGGTTCAGAGAAGGGCTACTAAACTGGTTTATGGATTGCGGGATAAAACTTACCAGGAAAGGTTAAAGGATCTTAACATGTATAGCTTGGAGGAAAGACGAGACAGGGGGGATATGATAGAAACATTTAAATATATAAAGGGAATCAACACAGTAAAGGAGGAGACTATATTTAAAAGAAGAAAAACTACCACAACAAGAGGACATAGTCTTAAATTAGAGGGACAAAGGTTTAAAAATAATATCAGGAAGTATTACTTTACTGAGAGGGTAGTGGATGCATGGAATAGCCTTCCAGCTGAAGTGGTAGAGGTTAACACAGTAAAGGAGTTTAAGCATGCGTGGGATAGGCATAAGGCTATCCTAACTATAAGATAAGGCTAGGGACTAATGAAAGTATTTAGAAAATTGGGCAGACTAGATGGGCTGAATGGTTTTTATCTGCCGTCACATTCTATGTTTCTATAATGTCTATATTGCCTGCGCTCACAATTTTGCAACTCCACACAATTTTGAAAAGTGACAGACCCTTACAAAATAGTGGGCATCATAGATCTGACAAAAGGTGTGCAAAGATGGCAGTCAGAAAGGGGGGAAGGTGTGTAAACAATTTCTTGAAAAATGTCAGTGTACCTAAATTTATAATAAAGAAACAGGTGGCATTACATAACTACATTAAATGGACACTATAATCTCCAGAAGAACTACAGCTTAAAGCGGCACTGTCATGCCGAAACCCGTTTTTCTTTTAACCCCCCTCCCGCCTCCACTACATCCAATTGACCCACTAGTCACCCCCAAATGCCCCTAAGCCCCCCACATTACCTATTTTTTAATCCTTATTTTCTGCCCCGATCTTGATTCAGGGCGCCGCCATCTTTGTGTGGGTAGATGAAGTCCCTCAGGGACACGTCATCAGCCCACACTAGGCAGACTGTGAGATTCCCGCACATGCCCAGTGAAACACCTGGACATGCGAACGGGAATTTCATCTATTCACTCATTCATCAGACAGACGAATGAGTGAATAGAAAGATCAGCCGAACAAACAAACACAATGTATCAGTGTATGTTTGTTCGTGCAGTTTATTACAAGGAGGGAGCTACCGGCGTGCAGCTCCCTCCTTGTAATATGTAACTATAGAAGCGGCAGGGAGCAGTGCTCCCCACCACTTCATAAGCCCCCCAGTACCCCCTCTCACTCTATGGGGGTCAATATGACCCCCATATAAGCACAAGAGAGATTTAAATCTCCCAAATGCCCCTACTCACTATACCGCGAGTAGGGGCATGTCTACTAAACAGTGAGCAGCCTATGGCTGCTCACTGTTGAAAAAAAAGACATAAATTACAATAAGGGGGGGCGGACCTATTGTGCGGCGGGTGGGGGCCATGAAGATAATGGGGGGGGGGACCTACTGTCCTCCCCCCCTGGCCCCCACCCCTGCGCGGTGGGTGGGGGCCCTAATAAAACCATAAGGGGGGGGACCTACTGTCCTCCCCCCCCTGGCCCCCACCCCTGCGCGGTGGGTGGGGGCCCTAATAAAACCATAAGGGGGGGACCTACTATCCTCCCCCCGCCCCCACCCCTGCGCGGTGGATGGGGGCCCCAGTAAAATATTAAGGGGGGGGGACCTACTGTCCTCCCCCCCCTGGCCTCCACCCCTGAGCGGTGGGTGGGGGCCCTAATAAAACAATAAGGGGGGGGGGCATACTGTCCTCCCCCACCTGCTTGATGGGTGGGGGCCCCAGTAAAACAATAAGGAGGCCTACTGTCCCTCCCCATTACAAAGCGGTGAATTTGAGAGCTAATAAAACAATAAGGGGGGACCTACTGTCTCCCACAACCCACCCTGGCGGTGGCCCTAATAAAAACAATATGGGGACCTGCATGTCCTCCCCCATTCCCTGGCGGTGGGTGGGGCTAATAAAACTAATAAGGGGGACACTACTGTCCTCTCCCCCCACAATACCCTGGCGGTGGTGGGGGAGCCTAATAAAACCTAATAAGGGGGGGCCTACTGTCCCTCCCACAACGATGAGTGGGGGCGTTTTTTTTTTTTTTTTTTTTAAGTCTGACGGGTGTAATGGATTTTTATTTGGCCTTTTTGGGGGGCTGAAGAAAGAAGATTTTAGAAAAAAGAAGACGTCAAATGGTAAGTTTAATTTTTTTTTTTTTTACAGGTTAGTTATTTTATTCCCCCCTCACTATTTGTAGGGTGAGGGGGGTAGGTAGGGGATAGGTTTTTTTGGGTGGGGGGTTGGTGACTAGGGGCTTGGGACCCCTAGTCACCTTGATTGGGGGGGGGTGTTTCATTTAGGGCCCCCACCCACCGCTCAGGGGTGGGGGCCAGGGGGGGGAGGACAGTAGGTCCCCCCCCTTATTGTTTTATTAGGGCCCCCACCCACCGCTCAGGTGTAAAAGAAACGAACAGACTGTTGTTATTCAGTTAGAACGCAATTCGGCAGTTTAGTGTAAAGTGACAGGAACCATTGTGGGATCACAGAGGAAAGCTAGGGATCATGGGAAAATTGCTCTGACCAGCGGAAATGAAGCACACTTTGCTCCTCCGCTGGTCAAGCGGAGGAATCCCCCATAAGGCAAAGAGTCCCTACTTTGTCTTATGATTTTAAAGAAAACTAAAGAAGACAGGAAGAAAAGAATAACAGATCCTGAGAGAGGGGGAGAAGAGGAAGAGATTGAGGAAAGGTAAGTTCGGCATGACAGTGCCGCTTTAATGTATTTGTTCTTGTGAGTAGAATCATTACCTTCAGGCTTTTTGCTGTAAGCACTGTCTTTTCAGAGAAAATGCAGTGTTTACATTACAGCCTAGTGATAACTTCACTGGCCACTCCTCAGATGGCTGCCAGAGGTGCTTTCTGGGGCAGTGCTGCACAGTGTGACTGACAGTCGGTGTCTCCACCCTCTGCATGCAGACACTGAACTTTCCTCATAAAAATGCATTGATTTAGTGTACCTCTATGAGGAGATGCTGATTGGCCAGGACTGTATTTGGCTTGTGCTTGCTCTGCCCCTGATCTGCCTCCTTGGCAGTCTCAGCCAATCCTATGAGGAAGCATTGTGATAGGCTGAGAGAATCACTTCTGATGATGTCAGCAGGTAGATGAGGAGCAGAGGCAGCAGCTGCAGACTTAAATACAAGTAAGATTTCACAATATTTAGAGGCAAGAGGGGCCATATGGTGGTTTTAACACTATAGGGTCAGCAATACATGCTTGTGTTCCTTTAATCACCTCCTGTTCACGTTCTGAAAAATGATAATCCATTCTATCGACAGTTTATCCTAAAAATAGATAATTCTGTCATATCTGCTACCCATGATCCCCATGTTACCAATAACTGATCAGTCTCGGAGATCTGATTATTAATGTGAATACCCATCTATAACCGAAACACGCACCTTCATCTCCCGGCACATGCAGCTTGGGGTGCTCCGCTTGGGGTGCTGGAACAGGTTGGTCTCATTAGAGCTTCTTTGTCTCTTCCTACAGAAAAGAAATACATAAATTGTCTGATTTATTTACAGATCATTCCAGAAACAAGTTGGAAACACATTCTTTCTGGGTCAGCAAACCGATCTCTGCAGATTAATAAATTACAATATTTACCTTAGCACCTCTATGAATAATTACTAAACGTTTGTGCTATAATGATGGACTAAAATTGTTTAGTTTATAAAAAAAAAAAAAATATATATATATATATATATATATATATATACACATACATACATACACACACACACCTCATAAAGGCCCACTCTGACACGGAGCATGCTATGTATTGGCAGTGCATCATGGGAAATGTAGTTTAGAAACATCTGATAGTGGGCTTCCTCAAAATGATTTGTTGGTAATTTTCTCTCAGTAAATCTCAGCTACGGCCTGAAGCTGGATTGAATTTAAGCGAAAACAAACGTTCCATCAGGAAATAAATACAAAGGAACGGACAATTTTGTGGCCAAAGTATCTGAATTAGAAACACTCCCAACTCAATTATTTTACCAGCTTCACTATTTTTGCTTAATATGTGAAAGTCCCTCATCCTTTCTGTACTATTGATCGTTCAGTGAGTAAACCCTTCAGTACCATTTCACAACGAAAATATCTGTCACTTACATGATCGAAAACAGCGTATCAGTAACTAGACAATATATAATCCATGGTGCTACTTTTTTTCTGGTGCCTTGTAGCACATGCTTGATTGCAGTATACAAACTCCTGTTGCACTATGGGTAACTAACAAGCAGCTCCTCGTAGGTTGAGACTAGTAAATGGAAGTTAACAAGCAGCTCCTCGTAGGTTGAGACCAGTGAATGGATGTTAACAAGCAGCTCCTCGTAGGTTGAGACCAGTGAATGGATGTTAACAAGCAGCTCCTCGTAGGTTGAGACCAGTGAATGGATGTTAACAAACAGCTCCTCGTAGGTTGAGACCAGTGAATGGATGTTAACAAGCAGCTCCTCGTAGGTTGAGACCAGTGAATGGATGTTAACAAGCAGCTCCTCGTAGGTTGAGACTAGTGAATGGATGTTAACAAGCAGCTCCTCGTAGGTTGAGACTAGTGAATGGATGTTAACAAGCAGCTCCTCGTAGGTTGAGACTAGTGAATGGATGTTAACAAGCAGCTCCTCGTAGGTTGAGACCAGTGAATGGATGTTAACAAGCAGCTCCTCGTAGGTTGAGACCAGTGAATGGATGTTAACAAACAGCTCCTCGGAGGTTGAGACTAGTGAATGGATGTTAAAAAGCAGCTCCTCGTATGTTGAGACTAGTGAATGGATGTTAAGCAGCTCCTTGAAGGTTGAGGATACAGAATAGATGTTAACCAACTGAATGGTTGCTACCAACAAACTCCTCGTAGATTGGGCTTACGGAATCTTCACGAATGACATCACATGGCTGGCCTTAAAGGAAAACAGCCATGAAGTTTGCACATTACATTTTTCAGTAGTAAATGTTGGTTTAATTTATTTCTGTAAATTGGCCCATTACCATTACTCCATTCTTCTGACAGAGTTGCCATTTTCAATGTACGAGTCAGAAGGAACCTTTATCCAACCCAATGATTATTTGCTTTCCTGCGGTGTTCACCGATTTAGGGCTAATCTGCTCAGGCTTCCGGTCTGTCATCACATTATTACATTTAGCAATTTCATCTACAGGATTATTTACTAAAGTGAGACATTGTCAGCTAATCAAAGTGAATTTCCAATGCAAGACCAAAATATCCAAATGTGGCCTTGGTTTCGAGTTCACTTTGAATTCCTGGCAATGCTCACCATCGTAAATGACCATGTTAGATTCAAAATGGCGGAGATTAACGGTTTCCTTTTTCTGCCCTCCCAGTTACTTTAGAATGGTTGGTTCCCAAGACACTACTGACTGTACAGGAGATCCAGATGAAATATGTTTCATGACAATTGTCATTTAGTAACGCTGTATCTTAGCTTTCCAGTATGACCACCCCGACCCCCTGAAAGACACTGCACGCAATGTAACACCAGTGTGGAAATTAAATCATTTTATTGTACACAAATAATTGTCACAACCTATATTCCTCCTTGTCATCACGTTAGTAGAACACAAAGGCTTTGCACTTTTTAAATATGATTTGCCCCACAAAAGGGCAGCGTGCACCAAAGAAGATCTTTCACCTACAGTTTTTTTTTAATGTACACATTTCCTTGCATCTCTCCCCGTTTGTGGAAACACCTCATCATAGCACACCCCCTACACACACCCCGGGTGCTATATATCATGGCATCTGTCCAGATCCATGATCACACCTCACATGCCTAGAGTGAAGCCTTAGTGATTTGCTTTGAGGGCTGTTAATTTGTCATGTTTGACGATGGGGAGAGTGGTCCATAAGAAGCAATGAACAGCTGGCATTTTTCAAAAGTAAAATATACATTATAAAATAGTGAACTGCAGGTACAGTAACCCCAAAGTGCCATTTTATTTTAACTTCCCATTCCAATATAATAACTGGAGTTACAGAACACACTGGATTAAACAGGTAAAGCTAGAGGCTGTTTGAACTCTCTAGACTTCATTCTGTTCAGATCGCCTTCTTCTCCAAAATCCACTTCAATTCTTACTTCTCCACAAAGAAAGGAAAAAAAATAAATAAAACAAAATTGTCCATTGGAGCCACCAGAAGACAAAAAGGGCAGGTCATATTTAACTGATATCCTGCTAATCAAAGCAATATCCGAGGCAACGGGCAGCAGCTGCTGTAACTGGTTTGCACATTAAAATAATGGCGCTTCTCAATGGTTCATGTGCAGAATGCATTCATAGATGGCTGACCAAGGAGGCATTGTAACGCTGCTGTAAGCTGGAGAAGTGCGCCTCCTTCAGGATTTGATTGATGTGGACGTAAGGTCCTTGATTGAGTGCAGACTGCTCCGGTGCGGAGACTTGCTGTGGCGTAGCTGGGCCAAATCCAGCCACAGTCTGTGTATAGTCATTCGTGTTTAAGGTGCCGTTACTGCTGTCGCTGCCTGAAGACTGGAAAGTAAAAGAAAATAATGTTAAAATCTATCAGTAATACACTACATCTGGTGCTAGCTCACCTCTGGGCTGTTTCCTGTACTATACCGTTATAGTAACGTTTCATTGAAGCATTCTATTGTGACCCCCATCAATTCTCAAGCTTCGAAAACCAGAATGGAATAAAATACATCCAGTTCCATCATCCCATGATAAAGGAATGCGCACCTGACATAACTAAGGTGGCCACAGCGCTAAATTAGTTTGCCGCGCTCAAGCGTTAATACAATGAGAATATCGTCAGGAAAATGGTTAGGTATAATGAACACGGCATTGGCCACATACCGGCATCTAATATCCCACATTGAGTAAAGATTCAAGTACGCCTGAAGGTGCCGGCACAGTTCAATTCACTAAAATGTAACCATAGTAAAGTTTGGTCAGTGTATAATCAAGGCCCTGTTATAAATGATTACAAAGATGCAGACAGGAGCCACACTCAATCCCAGTGCACTGGAAGAGGACCAGCAATCCCACAACGATAAGGCAACAAAAAGAAAACCTCCAGGCCCTCAGGGTGTTCAAGCTGCAGGCAGATTTAATGGTACAAAACGAACAGCAACGTTTCTAGCTGCTAAAAGGTTTTGTCAAGCTGTCTTAGCAGGTTGAAACGTTGCGGTTCTTTTTGTACCATTAAATCTACCAGCGGCTTGAACACCCCGAGGGTCTGGAGGTTTTCTTTTTGTTGTCAAAGGTTTTTTTATAGAATATTTTAAGTTATTATAATACAATGTTTCAAAACTGAATATTTTTTTTAAAAAAGATTTTCGTTTTGTTGCCTGTTATAAATGATGACTAATTTGTTTAGACATATCTTGCGATCCAAATACTTACATCTGTCTCCAACTCCTGCAACACAGAGTTTTGAGCACTCCTCTTGGGTTGGGGGAACTGGGTGGCTTCATTACAACTTCGTTGCCTTTTTCTGGGGGAAGAACAGAACATTCATTGTCACAATTTTTATTTATTTTTTTCCCCATTAAATTTTTATTGAGCAGTATACATATCATGTTACAGACCTTTGAATGAAAATTGCAGCACAACATCATAGTAAGTTTCGAAGAAAAGAGATTTACGTTACAACGGGGCTTGAGAAGTTTATTTGGAATCTAGGAGCCAGTTTTGTTTTTTTTAAACTAAAAAAGTTTCATTTAACGAGGAAAATTCAATTCTAAAAGGGACACTATAGCCACCAGAACCACTACAGCTTGATGTGTCTGGTGTCTATAGCATGTTCCTGTAGGCGTTTCAGCAAAAAGGCAATGTTTATTTTGCTGCTTCTTAACACCTCTAGTGACAGTCACTCAGACGGCCACGAGAGAGTCCTGGATGGAGGCGCTGAATGTTCATCATAGAGATTAATTCATTCAATGCACATTGCTTGGTACATTTGCTGCGCATGCACAAAATCCTCCCAATGCTTTTTTAAGGGAAAGCATTAGCTTAGCTGAAATCATAAAGACTGATAATCTCATGGAGGTGAGACCAGCCCCGGCGAAACTTGCACAGGGTGGGAAAAGGGGGGAGTAAAAAAGACTCTCATGCCATCGGAGGCGGAAGGTATCTGAACGCACTCGCTCACTGGCAGGCTCACATTTTTGTATACATTGAAACCCACTCAGCCTTCATACCTTTGGGAGAGCTGAGTGGATCTTTCGCTGTGATCCAGTGCGGTCTAATCTTCTTGCAGCTCCTCACTGCTTCCTGCGTGCGCTCTGTAGTGATGCTGGGCCGTAGTGACATCATACTCCGGCTCCCGACATCACTAAGCAGCACGAGGGAGCTGCAGGAACAGTACTGCTCCCTCGACAGCCACATTAACTAAAGAGGTGGCAAATCCCAGGAGCCAGAAATTTCACCGTGGTGCCTGGGATTTGCCAGCGCGTGAAATTTCTAGTCACCGTAGCGACCTGGATTACCATATTGATGGTGTCTCTCAAACCCAATTGTACACATGATTTCTTCAAAATGTTTAAATATGAATGGAACCCCTTCCCACGTACCAGATAAGATTGACAAAAGCCGGCCATTAACTACCTCGGACGTACCTGGTACATCCGATAGTAAGTCCCCACTTACCTGATCGCTGGCAATCCCCCGCTGGCGATCAAGATCCTGGGGTCTGCCTGGGAGCTCAGACAGACCCCCTCTGCCCGATTCAGCCCTCCCGTGCCATGTGATTGCGGGATCCTCGCGATCACATGGCCGGAATAGACTGCTTGTGCAGTGCCAGCAGGGGGCCTGCCTGAGCTCTCAGGCAGTCCTCCTAATGCCTGTACAAACGTTTAAAAAAGTTAGTAAAAGTTGCAAAAATGTTTTTAAATAAAATAAAACTACTTAGATCATATATCATACATAAATCATTATTAAAAGTGTATTTTAATATTAATCTATATAATTACATATATATTAATAATAAAATACACTTAGAATAATGTTAATTATATAACTGGACCTGTTATCTGACCCTGAGGAAAGTCACGAACGGAGACTGAAACGTTGGTCGCTGTTTTTAATTTGACTGAATAAACAATTGATATTTTAAAGACCGGTGAGCAGCTACTTTTTTGGCATTGTATCTTTGGAGTCCAGGCTTTGGCACCCAGCTATTGAGGAACTTCTAAGTGTGAGTGCATGTATGTATGTATGTATGTATGTATGTATGTAATAAAAATCAATAAATACATTTAATTTAAAATAAATGGAATTTTAATTTTAAAGAAATTACATACTGGTTTAAATATGTTCTAACTGTATTTTGATATTAATATACATATATATTTAAATCAAAATACATTTAGAATGACGCAATAAACACATATATCCCCTTAACGACCGACAAAAATCGGTCGTTAAGGACCGCTGATGTACTAGGCAAATAGGAGCCCTGGACCGGCGACCCCAGCAGTCCCCCTGCAGCAGCTCCGGCCACCCTGGCCCTCCAGAGCCATGTGATCACCATGATCACCGCCGCAATAGGAGTCTATGGAGCTGCCAGCAGGGGGACTGTTTGAGCTGTCGGGCAATCCCCCAGGCTGCTAAAAAGTAAATGCAAAAAATAAAATAAATACATTATACATATATTATTTATGTATAATATATTATAAAATAATTAATGTTTAAATACATTATAGATATATAATATATATATGGTTTCATTATAAGTGTACTTTGAGATAAATACACTTATAATGAAATCATATATAGGGTGTGTGTGTGTGTGTGTCTCTGTAATTGTGGGACTATTAGTCCTATTTAAACCCAGTGAGCCCCTCCTTACCTGTCGCCAACGATCTCGGAAGTTCCCCTCCCAACGCACCCTTTATTATTTCATATTATCTAGGTGGGCCCTTTTTTTACAGGTCTAACCTCACGTTGGTTTCGACACACCTCAACAAACTTTGTTCTTACTAAACTTTCATTATATCATACCATACATACGATTTTATTATTTATAAATTTGAGGAACCTGCCTGACAAGCCCTATATTTAAGCCCGTAACTTTCCAAAACACCATAAAACGTTTACATGGGGGGTATTGTTATTAGGGATCGACCGATGTTGATTTTTTTTAGAGCAGATACGATAATCTGTGAACATTCAGGCCGATAGCCAATAACTTACCGATATTCTGTACATTTACCATTTTGAAAAAAAAACTATTTCTAAAGGTAAATGCACAAAATATACATGCCACATGTAGTGGATGCAGCATGTTTAGACAGAGGAGCTGTGTGTGTTTGTGTGTGTGTGTGTGTAGTGGATGCAGTGCGTATAGTGAATGCAGTGTGTGTGTAGTGTGCGTAAAGTGAATGCAGTGTGTTTGTGTAGTGTGTGTGTGTGTGTGTGTGTGTGTGTGTGTATATATATATATATAATGAATGCAGAGTGTGTGTATATAGTGAATGCAGTGTGTGTAGTGTGTATATAATGAATGCAGAGTGTGTGTGTATATAATGAATGCAGAGTGTGTAGTGTGTATATAATGAATGCAGAGTGTGTGTGTATATAATGAATGCAGAGTGTGTGTGTATATAATGAATGCAGAGTGTGTGTGTGTGTAGTGTTTGTATAGTGAATGCAGGGTGTATATAATGAATGCAGAGTGTGTGTGTGTGTATAGTGAATGCAGAGTGTATATAATGAATGCAGTGTCATTGTGTAGTGTGTGTGTGTTTCTTTAGGAATATAGTTTGTGTAAAATGGGGGGGGCATTTTTAATTTAATTTTTTTTATTCCCCCCTTCCTGCATGTTACCTGGCCAGGAAGGGAGGCTATGGCATTCCCTGGTGGTCCGGTGGCATGGACTATGCAGTGGGGGGCACAGCAAGCGCTTACTTACCTTCCCAGCTGCTCCCTTCAGCTCCCCATTGTAAATCTCACGGCCAGCGTGCAGTGTCAGATTGGTGGTAAAATGGTTGCATGAAAAGAGTCAAAATATCCCAAGTTTAATACCTTAGGTTGTCTTTTAAAAAAAATATATACATGTGAAAGGTTATTCAGGGATTCCTGACAGATATCAGTGTTACAATGTAACTTTCGTTAATTTTGAAGGAAAAAAAAAAATGGTTTGGAAATAGCAAAGTGCTACTTGTACTTATTGCCCTATAACGTTCCAAAAAAGCTAAGAACATGGTAACATAACAGAGGACAAAATTTAGAAACTATTAATCATGGGGTTTTTTTGCGGTTGTAGACAGAATTTAGGGGTCAAAGTTAGAAAAGGTGTTTTTTTTTTTTTTTTTTAAACAAAATTATCATATTTTATAAAAACATTCTATAGTAAATATATGATATGATGAAAATAATGGTATCTTTAGAAAGACCATTTAATGGCGAGAAACACGGTATATAATATGTGTGGGTACAGTAAATGAGTAAGAGGAAAATTACAGCTGAACACAAACACCGCAGAAATATAAAAACAGCTCTGGTCCCAAAAGCGGTCTGGTCACTAAGGGGTTAATGAACAAACATATGTCAAGATTTAATGTTGTTGGGCCCAGTTTATTTATCAAGTCTTTCATACGAGTGGTTTTACATGCTAGTATTCCATTGATGTAAGGTATGGATGCTCACAAAATAGAACACGTATATAAAGAGACAACGGAAAATAGATCGTAAAAAGGAACCCAACACAGTAACGTGTTAGCATTAACCAGAATCAGTGTGGCTATACACAGGCTCTTGGACCAGAAAGACCAGCTGCATTAAACGATTGTCCCGGAGTGGAACCTCTGTGGTATCCCTTGCCCCTTGTCCTTAATATATAAAACCCAGGGCTGCCATATGCACGGGTATTTGCCTATTTTACATAGTAATGCCTATCTCAGTTCAAGAGCTAACTTGTTTTACACTTGAAAAATCCTTTTATTGGTGAAATGCGTTGTGTAGTATTTGTTTTATTTCTTTTAGCATTAAATATAGATTTGGTTTTCACTTATTTGTGTTAGACCATTTATTACACTTTTTATGCAATCGTTTTTAACCATTTCATTTGTTTCTGGCACATCCAACTTAAATGTTTTTGACAATTACTCCAAACCATATCCCTGGTAGGGATAATACCAGCCATGTGCAGATATCAGAGCTATATGTTGCTCTATCAAATGAGTAAAATACATCCATTTATTTTTATATAAATTTGTACTTACAGTGATAACTATTGTATATCTCTTTTATATAACCATCTGTACTCTGAGACACTGGCCTCCAGAGCTTTATATCCATCATTGGAGATTGTACCACTGCAAGCAATTTTACTGAGAGCTAGTTTAAAAGAGATTCTATAGTGCCAGGAAAACAAACCCTTTTTTCCCTGGCACTAGAGGCTCTTTGAGTGTCCCTCTCAGTCGGCGCTGAATGGGTTAAAACCCCTTCAGCCGGGGCTTGACTAGCTAGCAGAACGGACGCATGTTGTATAAGCTCCTGAGCCCAACAAGCTTAAAACTACCCTTAAACGCATGGACTGGCGGTGGTCATCCCAGTCCCAGGAGGCTCACCAACGCTCCCGAGAATATCTCACAGCTCGGCCTGATCACCAGATTTTGGGCAAAAGTGGAGCACGGCAACTGGGCACGCTGGAGCTCGGCAACTGGGAACGCTGGAGCTCGATCAGCCAGCGACGCCACCGATCCACTCCAGCAGACCCAATAAACACCCAACGCCGTCAGGCAGGCGGACGGAAAAACAGCACCCCCTGCAAGAAACAGCGCACACAGACAAAACGCAAGTCTACCGCCCCACGGAGGCCGGGAACATACAGCAAAAGGCAAATGGAGGTGGGGAGCGGGGAAGGGGCCCAGGCAAACGGGACTTTGACATACTCAGCTCCGCAAGATGGCGGATCCTGGCATAGAGACGCCACATGGCACCCAGCTGCAGCACAGCCTCACACTCCCATAGAGAACAGAACGCTGCATAAAGCCTGCCCGCTCCAGAATGGCCAGCGACCTCCCCACAGACTGGGGATTGGATGAGGAAATGCGAAGACCCGAGCGGCCTTATGGCACACTGCAGTGCTACCGCTGGCACAGAGGACATTACAGTCCATATTTAATGCGGTGGACTCCTGCTCCTAATCGACTATTATAATCTGCCGTAAACCTATACAGTTATCTTATACTATAGCATGACCTAACATACTACTAGCTAAGCTTGTTTGCACTGTAGCCTCACTGTTAACGTTGACACTTTGCTGACCTAACGGACCAACCTATTTGTATATCAAACCTACTAGTGACATAACTGACCAAGCATGTCCACATAGACGTCTTTCTGATGCTGAAGAGGCTCTAATGACACAACTGACCAAACTTGTATGCAATGTGTTAACCTTTACCTAACAAAAAAAAATGTGCATGTTTTCTCATATACTTCAATGTTATACAGAACTATGAAACGCTGGAGGATTGCCGTTAGGGTACCTCACATGCGACTTTTACATGACTATGCACTGCAAAAATTTAAAATTATTAAAAAAAATAAAAAATAAAAAAACCTTCAGCCACCTTAATCCAGCGCCGTACTCCTTTGGCACTGGTGACCTCTCCTTCCCCGCTGATGTCAGCTCCCGAGTGGAGCCAAGGATTTTATGCATTATTTACTCATTTTATCTTTATATCCATCCATTGGCATAACCTGTTTTTTTTGCTCATTTTTTTAGGGTTTGAGAGTATCCCCTATATCTAGAGTGTGCTGCCTATATTTTGTCAGTTCTTCTAGCGATTATCCCTACCTGTGTTTTTAGGGAATGATTGTACTCAGTAGAACAACTTCATTAAGCTGTATACTATACATTAAGCTGTAGTTGTTCTGGTGAGTATAGGGCCAGTTTAAATTTTCCAGTCGGTTTCAAATAGATTATATCCAATGCATACACTTTGGACCAATACCCAACATCTCCAGTTTCGACTTGAGGAAGAACAAGTCCTCTCTCCCGAATGCCTTTTCAGCGTCTATAGATAATAAAATAGAGGATACCCTTTAGGATCTGGGCCAATGTACAAAATATATAATTTTTGCGGTATTGTCTTTGACTTGACGGTACAAAACCTTTCTGGGCAGGGTGGACTAGGCCCTTCAAGAGCGGCCGGAGCCCGCAGCCCAACATTTTGGTAAAAAGCTTCACGCTGACATTGATTAAAGATATGGGGAGGTAACTGCCACAGGCATCTGGATCTTTCAATGGTTTAGTATTAAGAGTTATAATGACTTCCAGGCTGGGCTCCGGGAGTCGGCAGGTAGGGGAAAGGGAGTGGTATGCTTTAACCCCTTAAGGACACATGACATGTGTGACATGTCATGATTCCCTTTTATTCCAGAAGTTTGGTCCTTAAGGGGTTAAGAAAGAAGGGACTCAACTCTTTCTGAAACGATTTATAATAAAGTGCTGAAAATCCATCTGGACCCGGACTTTTATCGGACGGTTTATTTTTAATTGCCATTTCAAGTTCATCCTCTGAGAATGGTTTGTCTTGGGAATTTATTAGATTACTAGTTAATGCCTTTAAGTCATTTTTTATTTGGCAATCCGGCTTTTAAAATCATATAGGGAGTGGTAGTACTCCCTGAAAGCCTCCGCAATATCTTCAGTAGTGTGGACTGGGTTGTTTTTCTGGGAATATACATTGTTTTCGTTTCAGAGTCTTAGCTAAAGGTTTTCTGCATTTGTTACCATGGGCAAAGTATTGTTGTTTAACCCATTAGAGTGTTTTGGTTTTTTTGCTTTATAATTCAACAATATTTTCCAACCAGTTCGCAGTGAAACTAGTGCATGGTAGTCCGTATCGGAGAGTGATTCTTATATCTTCCGCAAGTTTAGCCTTCTCGTTGGATGCACCCCCATTTAATTTTAGTTTTTCCCGGAGGACACATTTGTGAGCCTCCCATTGTATAGGCAGGAGGTGTATCAGATTTTGATATTCTTGGAAATAATCACCTAATGCTTTCAGCAGTGGCTTCACGCACCAGTTGGTTTTGCATTATATTTGGATTAAGGCTTCCATTGGCATTATTATTTATTATTATTACAAAATGTCTGGGATAGCTATTTTGAGGAATAGGAGTGAGTGATTGGACCATGAGATTTGGCCAATGGTGGAGGATTTCATAAAACTTAAAGGGACACTATAGTCACCAGAACAACTACAGCTTATTGAATTTATTCTGGTGAGTAGAATCATTCCCTTCAGAGAAAATGCAGTGTTTACATTACAGCCTAGTGATAACTTCACTGGCCACTCCTCAGATGGCTGTTAGAGATCCTTCCTGGGTCATGGCTGCCTAAAATGCACCCAAACATTCAGTGTCTCCTCCCTCTGCATGCAGACACTGAACTTTCCTCATAGAGATTCATTGATTCAATTCATCTCTATGAGGAGATGCTGATGGGCCAGGGCTGTGTTTGAACCATGCTGGCTCTGCCCCTGATCTGCCTCTGTCAGTCTCAACCAATCCTATGGGGAAGCATTGTGATTGGATCAGGCCATCACTTCTGATGAGGTCAGAGGAAGTTCACAGGCAGCAGCTTCAGACTCTAATGCAAGTAAGATTTTACTGTCTTTAGGGAAGCAAAGGGGACCTAGGGGTCTAGATAGTGGTTTTAACACTATAAGGTCAGGAATACATGTTTGTGTTCCTGACCCTATAGTGCTCATTTAAGAGGTGCCATGTGGCACAGGTAAATCTCGTATCCGCAAATTCTTTTGCCTTCCCCTATTTTCAAGATTGTATATTCTGTAGTACCATTTGCGTAAAGATGTTTTTCAGTGTATTTTGTCTTTTGTCGAGACAATGCAGATTAGATAGGGCGTCTAACTTCTTCCAGATGTCCCACTCTGTGCCTTATTTAGCGAATGTCACCCGCCAAAGAGGCAATTTGGCCCTGAAACAATGTCTCCAGCCGGGCCAACTTTGAGGCCAGATCATCTTTAGAAGGTAAGTTTTGCAAAATGTCCTTATTATGTGGTTCTCTGGAACCTAGAGATTGTACCAATAGGGCTGGGCTCCGCAGAGGTGAGCCATGCAAAGATGGCATCCAGTGTTCGTGCTTCGATCCTTCCCCGAAATACTTGTTTAATTCACTAGTTTTTTTTTTGTGTGTGGCGTCTGGTCCACCTGGTCCTGAGACAGTATAGACTTCTTTTTATTCTCAATTTGGAGCAAATTCTTCCAAAGGCTTGATACAGGTTCTGTGATCCAGAAGCTCACTCACGGTGCATCGGTTTACATTGCACGCTAGGCCATGCCCTTATTGTCACAATATTTGTGTTAATATGCAGGCTAAACAGTGTGGTAGAGTATTGCAGACACAGGGAAATCTGTACAATAGACAGCAGCACATTCTTTCATCATGTTCAAACAGAGCAAAAAAATGCAGCTCTTACTTCTGGGTATTTCCTAAAAATAATCATTACGGAAAAATTCATAATGATGATTGAATCCAACACGATCAAAAGAAATGACTTTGTCTAATGGGTAAAAGGCTTCCGGAGTCAGTGTTTCAGATTTCCCAGCAGCTGTTTTAAGTGGGGACTCCATTTTAGAAAGGGACACAGGCTCCTGGTAGACGTGCCACAAGATACAGACACCAGAAGAGAGAGACAGGTTTCCACAAGTGAGAGTTGCAGATAAGTCTCTCCCCTGGTAGCTTGTCATAGAACGTGACGGCAGAGAAGAACCATTCGGCCCATCTAGTCTGCCCAATTTTTTTTTAATACTACTGCAATCCCCTTCTCAGTGGTCTTACGTGTTCCCAGATTGCCCCGCTGCAATCTATAATGAATGCGGCGGTGAGGCTAATTTTCATGTCTACTCGCACCTCCCACGCCATCCCGCTCTGTCAGTCAGTGCAATGGCTTCCAGTTAGATATAGGGCTCAATTTAAAATTCTGGTGCTTGCTTACAAGTCCCTACATAATGCTGCTCCACATAGCTATCCTCCCTCATACACAAGTATGTCCCGTCGAGGCCCCTACGCTCTGCCAAAGACCTACGTATATCCTCTGTCCGTACGCCCACCTCCAAGATTTCTCCAGGACTGCACCTCTTCTGTGGAACTCCCTTCCCTTCTCCGTTAGACTTTCACCCACTCTCCACTCATTCAAGAAATCATTGAAAACTCACTTCAAGAAAGCATATCAATTAAACGGTTAGCAGGTTTTCATCCCCCACCCTCCATGACTCCTCTCCTGCAACTGTCAAATTTACCTACCAAGCCCTCAAGGAATACTTTTCTAACAACCTACTTCGTGCCCCTACTTTTACCCTTTGTGTCACTATACCCCACTCCCTCTAGAATGTAAGCTCATTGAGCAGGGCCCTCTACCTCTCTGTTCCTGTACGTCCAATTGTCTGGTTAAAGTTACACGTCTGTTAGTCCACCCATTGTACAGCGCTACGGAATGTGATGACGCTATATGAATAATAAAATGATAATTAGTCCCTCGCCTTATCTTATAGTTAGGATATCCTTATGCCTATCCCACGCATGCTTAAACTCCTTTACGGTGTTAACCTCTACCACTTCAGCTGGAAGGCTATTCCATGCATCCACTGCCCTCTCAGTAAAGTAATACTTCCTGATATTATTTTTAAACCTTTGTCCCTCTAATTTAAGACTATGTCCTCTTGTTGTGGTAGTTTTTCTTCTTTTAAATATAGTCTCCTCCTTTACTGTGTTGATTCCCTTTATATATTTAAATGTTTCTATCATATCCCCCCTGTCTCGTCTTTCCTCCAAGCTATACATGTTAAGATCCTTTAACCTTTCCTGGTAAGTTTTATCCCGCAATCCATGAACCAGTTTAGTAGCCCTTCTCTGAACCCTCTCTAAGGTATTAATATCCTTCTGGAGATACGGTCTCCAGTACTGTGTACAATACTCCAAGTGAGGTCTCACCAGTGTTCTGTACAATGGTATGAGCACTTCCCTCTTTCTACTGCTAATACCTTTCCCTATACAACCAAGCATTCTGCTAGCATTTCCTGCTGCTCTATTACATTGTCTGCCTACCTTTAAGTCATCAGAAATAATCACCCCTAAATCCCTTTCCTCAATTGTTGAGGTTAGGACTCTATCAAATATTCTGCACTCTGCCCTTGGGTTTTTACGTCCAAGATGCATTATCTTGCACTTATCCACATTAAATGTCAGTTGCCACAATTCTGACCATTTTTCTAGTTTACCTAAATCATTTGCTATTTGGCTTATCCCTCCTGGAACATCAACCCGGTTACATATCTTAGTATCATCAGCAAAAAGACATACCTTACCATCAAGACCTTCTGCAATATCACTAATAAAAATATTAAAGAGAATGTGTCCAAGTACAGATCCCTGAGGTACCCCACTGGTGACAAGCCCAATCTTCGAATATATTCCATTAACTACAACCCTCTGTTGCCGGTCACTCAGCCACTGCCTTACCCATTCAACAATATTGGAATCCAAACTTTGCCCACCGGTTTGCCACACACCAAGCAGGCAGGTCACTTTGGGAGGCCTTAAAAGACCCTGAAAATGGAAGCAGTGTTGTACGTGCACTAGTTACACCATGGAATAGCACACTGTATATAATTTACAGTTTTAATAAAAGTTAACTTTTTTTGGGCACCTGTTCTAAAGAAGAATTATGGCACTAGAAAAAGTGCAGAGGCGGGCTACAAAATTAATAAAAGGAATGGAACATATCGGCTATGAAGAAAGGTTAACAAATTTAAACCTATTTGGTTTAGAAAAACGTCGCCTGAGAGGGGATATGATAACATTATACAAATATATTCGGGGCCAATACAAACCATTGTGTGGAAATCTATTCACAAACCGGACTTTACATAGGACACGAGGCCATGTGTTTAGACTGGAAGAAAGAAGATTTCGTCTAAGGCAAAGGAAAGGTTTTTTTACTGTAAGAACAAATCAGGATGTGGAATTCTCTGCCTGAAGAAGTGGTTTTATCAGAGTCCATACAGATGTTCAAACGGCTACTAGATGCATACTTGCAAGAACAGAATATTCAAGGATATAATCTTTCAATGTAGGGTAATAGCTGCTTGATCCAAGGATAAATCTGACTGCCATTCTGGGGTCAATAAGGAATTTTTTTCCTAGCTTGTGCAAAATTGGAAGTGCTTCAAACTGGGTTTTTTTGCCTTCTTTTGGATCAACAGCAAAAAACAAATGTGAGGAAGGCTGAACTTGATGGACGCAAGTCTCTTTTCAGCTATGTAACTATGTAACTGCTTATTGAGGAAAGTTAGTGCTACTGAAAGCGGGTGGTCCTTACTGTCACAATATGTTCCATATAAACCAACTCTAACACACGACTTTCTTCTTACATCATGGACAACTGAGATCAAAAATGGAGCCAAGAAGTACCGCTATTAGCTATGACTTCAGACAGCAGGTCCGGGACTGGCAGACATTGCCCCACTCTGCTTGCTGTTAGCAGCTAGTCCAAAAGCTGATATTTGTAGCCTGTGTGATTCAACGTGGAGGCAGCTAAAGGAATGTAGTGATATAATTTGCAATGATCACATTCATTAGTATTACAGTAACATTTTCTGCCTGGCGAGCACAGAAATCATTATACAGCTGCAATTTCCATCATTAAGGTTGTACGTCTCTAGAAACGTTTGTCTCTGCTAGTTACTGCGCTGTTCTACTCTGGGGATTTAACTGGGTATAAGCACCCCCTCTCTCAAGTAACCGTGCTACATTACAAGCCACCTCTAAACCATGGCAATGCTTAGATAAGATGCCTGGCACACTTCAAACGTAACAGCTTGTAAATGGTTAACAGGCCTCCAGTAGCCCCCAGGTAAATTGCCAAACTGATCACTAATTGCACCATATCCACTACAGCAGTCTGTGGAGGTTATGGTGCCAGGAGTGTTCCTTTTCAGATTGGCAAAACATCACAGGAATAAGAATTCCAAAACAGCCAGGGACCTACGGATTAGTCCAATGAAAAACATCTAGATTAGGACCCCAAAAAAACATTTCTGCAAGAAGCGCGATCCCGCGCCCGATTAACATTACGTGTTTTACTACAATCAGATTGGAGGATCTTATATACATAGTGCCCAATAGGGAAAGGTCCCCTGCTCCAAATGGTTAAAGTAACCCTTTACAATTCCATGGCCAATTCTGGGTTACCGCTAAAGGTAACGCACCATAAGCAATACAGCTAAGCGTATAATTAGAGCTCAATGTATGGGTTACATTGTCTAAAGGGTCTAGGTGTCATTCTCAGTTTAACGTAATCTAGGGCTCTCCATGGCACCCCAATACACCCCCCATTAAACAGCAGTGATAAAGTGGAACCCACACTTCACTATTACTCAATTAACCCATTAATTAGAATTAACCACCACCCTAGCTGGATAGAAATGAATGATAATATGGAAGGGTTAAACCTGCATTGCCAGTTTGAGGAGGGGGCAGTCTCCGCACACCTGGGGATGACCATATAAACTTTAAGGTAAAATAAAACCTGCAACATTGAGCTGTAAAACAGACTATATTGGTAAATATGGGTTCCATTGTATCTTTACCTCAATATGCTTGGATGGATATACTGTGTATATAGTGTGTATAGCAACCACCTCTAATCACCAGCTAGCTATTCCGTGTAACTCACCTGCTTTCAGGTAACATTTGGGCGATGAGGTCCTGGCTGGACCAAGCTTCCTAGGTCTAGGGGCCCCTGTATGTCCGATGAAAGGCTTAAGGGGCCAGATAGATGCTTGAAGATTGAGGACAGACCGGCTCCCAGGAACTGGGGGTTCTAGGCCTTGGTATTGGGGTACGCTGGGCCCGGGTATTGGGGGGCGCTGGGCCCGGGTATTGGGGGGTTCTAGGCCTTGGTATTGGGGTACGCTGGGCCCGGGTATTGGGGGTACGCTGGGCCCGGGTATTGGGGTACGCTGGGCCCGGGTATTGGGGGGTACGCTGGGCCCGGGTATTGGGGGGTACGCTGGGCCCGGGTATTGGGGGTTCTAGGCCTGTATTGGGGGCACGCTGGCCCGGTATTGGGGGTACGCTACCCGGTATTGGGGGCTCATTTTGCATAGGTACGGCCCGGTATTGGGGGTACGGGGCTGGGCCCGGTATTGGGGTACGCTGGGCCCGGGTATTGGGGGTACACTGGGCCCGGGTATTGGGGGGTTCTAGGCCTTGGTATTGGGGGTACACTGGGCCCGGGTACTGGGGGGTACACTGGGCCCGGGTATTGGGGGGTTCTAGGCCTTGGTATTGGGGGTACACTGGGCCCGGGTATTGGGGGTACACTGGGCCCGGGTATTGGGGGGTACGCTGGGCCCGGGTATTGGGGTACGCTGGGCCCGGGTATTGGGGGGTTCTAGGCCTTGGTATTGGGGGTACACTGGGCCCGGGTACTGGGGGGTACGCTGGGCCCGGGTATTGGGGGTACGCTGGGCCCGGGTATTGGGGGTACGCTGGGCCCGGGTATTGGGGGTACGCTGGGCCCGCTGGGTATTAGGTACAAGGCCCGGGTATTGGGTACAAGGCCCGGGTATTGGGGGTTCTAGGTCTTTGTATTATACACTGGGCCCGGGTACTGGGGTACGCTGGGCCTGGTATTAGTACGCTGGGCCCGGGTATTGGGGGTACGCTGGGCCCGGGTATTAGTAGTACCGCTGGGCCCGGGTATTGGGGTACGCTGGGCCCGGGTATTGGGGGTTCTAGGCCTTGGTATTGGGGTACGCTGGGCCCGGGTATTGGGGGTACACTGGGCCCGGGTATTGGGGGTACACTGGGCCCGGGTACTGGGGGGTACGCTGGGCCCGGTTCCTGTGGAGGAGGTGTCCCGGTTCGGCCCGGGTTCGGCTGTGTCCCGGTTCGGTGTCTATCTGCCGCCCGGTGCTGTCGCTGACGGTCTGTCCCGAAGGCTCCGGCCCCGGTTGCTCCCAGCCCGGCTCATACTCTGTCTCCCCGCTGGAGAGGCTCTCAGGCCCCGCTGGGCTCCATACTCCAGTCCGAGGCTGCGGCCGGATGCGGCTCCCGTGACGTCAGAGCGCTCACAAAGCCCAGCGACGCTCAGAGCGAGCCAATGGGAGCCAGCCTGGGAGACGAAAACATGTCGCCGGTGCAGAGCGGACGCCATTTTGTTGGTTTACGTGCAAGTCATAGGCCTCGTGACGTCACCTTCCCAATGTGAGCCAATAGGAAATCAGCTGGAGAACTCAAGATGTCGCAGCCATGGAGACCGGCGGCGGCCATTTTATTGGTGGTGTAACACTGGCGGCCATTTTATTGGTGGTGTAACACAGGCGGCCATTTTATTGGTGGTGTAACACTGGCGGCCATTTTGTTGGTTCTAAACCACATGACTGTTTTTATTTTTCATGATTTGTGTGTCATAGTCAGCCAGGACCCCTAATTTAAACATAAAGGATACTTTAGGCCAGGGCAACATTTCAGCTTTTTTTCTTAATGGAAGTTTGTATTGAGGGAAATAATAAATTGAACATGATATTATTATTATTATTATTATTATTATTTATATAGCGCCATCACATTCCGCAGCGCTGTACAATGGGTACAATTATCAGCAGAGAACGTATCGGTCACAGCGTATACAGCGCAGTATATACCGTACATGGAACCGCCATGAACAATGGGATAAACGTTAGCCAGGCCAGGGAAAGAGATATTTAATTATCAGAATGTAATCTCAGATCCATCGCCATCTCCGCCCAGCTAGGGGTTCACACATGGCAGAACGAGTCTGGGGTTAATAGGATAAAGTGTGTGAATTGGGGCGAGACCGGGGTTAATTCAATCATATGGAGTTTAAATATTTTAATAAAATTCTGAAAAAAAAAGTCTGAATGTATATACAAGATGATTCTGCTTTCTCTCTCCTCCATCTTGTAGCTGGCCCTGCTGTCTCTCTCTATTTTGTAGCTGGCCCTGCTGTCTCTCTCTCCTCCATCTTGTAGCTGGCCCTGCTGTCTCTCTCTATTTTGTAGCTGGCCCAGCTGTCTCTCTCTCCTCCATCTTGTAGCTGGCCCTGCTGTCTCTCTCTATTTTGTTGAAAGAAAAAGAAAAAAATACAAACGCAAGAAATACAAATGTACCTAACCAACACAGTGGTAGGAATATACACGAGTACTTAACTTGGTATAAGATGAATGCAGCTTCCCAAGAGGTTTCCCCCAAACGAACCTCAAATGCAGATATGTAAATGGACAAAATAGGGATACAGCTGAATGACTAAAAAACATAAGAATACATAGCACATAGTGAAGTACCGTCACAATAATAAAATATAAACTTCAATGATTGCACTCACAAAATAGTGATGGATAATGCGCCTTTAAACCCTCAAGGGCTGCAGTGGTATTCACCCTCCATGAATAGGTTGCTCTGTCTTCAAAGAAGTGGGAGTATGCCAGTGAAGTATAAAAAAATTTTTTTATTATTATTAAAAGGCACTAATAGGCCTATATCAAAAAATCAATAGTTAAAAGTATACAAATAATACTGCATCTTCAGCTGTATCCCTATTTTGTCCATTTACATCTCTCTATTTTGTAGCTGGCCCTGCTGTCTCTCTAAAATTTGTTTTAAAGCCAATTAATCTGTTGTGTTTATGAATTATTTTAATCAGAAATACACATATCCTGCAAACAAAGAAAAGCTGAAAATGTCCTGTTATCCTTTTAATGTATAAGCACATCTTGCTTCTGCAAACAGTTTTAAGAAATCCTGCGTATCCTTTATTTGGACACAAACTCTCAGGATTATATCTACTGCCTCTACCAATATGGCTGAATCTGCCTCTACCAATATGGCCGAATCTGCCTCTACCAATATGGCTGAATCTGCCTTTACCAATATGGCCGAATCTGCCACTACCAATAAGGCTGAATCTGCCTCTACCAATATGGCCGAATCTGCCTCTACCAATATGGCCGAATCTGCCTTTACCAATATGGCCGAATCTGCCACTACCAATAAGGCTGAATCTGCCTCTACCAATATGGCCGAATCTGCCTCTATCAATATGGCCGAATCTGCCTGTACCAATATGGCCGAATCTGCCTCTAACAATATGGCCGAATCTGCCTGATGACTGACATTACCTGTTAGCTTCGGCCAATCGGATTGCAGGGGAGGTGCTCTCACGTGACCCGTGCAGCTGTCGCATTGTGCTGGCTCCAGTATGGCTGCTTTAACCATGTGCTGAGAGTGCTGGGAGCAGTGACAGCCAGCTGAGCATTCTGGGAGTGGAAGAAGGACCCTGGTAATACTGAGAGTTCTATGAGAATTTCCTGGAAACCCCCATTTTATAAACTAATTCTATTAAACTGAGTGCAAACTATCTTACTAATAGTGAGATTATTGATTATTGATTATATCTGGGACCTATGATCACATGATGGCTGTCATTGACCTATCTCCCATCATCCTCAGCCAGCCAGCAGGGATGCTTACTGTGGGAGGGAGACATTGGAGTAATTTGGTGATTAGTGCATCACATTTAAAGGAAAACTGTCATTTAAAGGGACACCACTCTGACTAAATCCCAAATAGTCACTGTGTATATATGCATCCCAATGAAAACATGCAGGCATTTAATTATGCATTTTTATATTAGCGGTATATCTAAAAACAGCTTGCAAAAGCTGCAGAACTCTGGTCTGCAGCCTTTACAATGTTACAATTTCCCAAGTCCCCTGTATTCAAAAACAAGCTATTTTACAATATAGCTTTTAATCCCTATTTAAAATTGTGTTTTACTACCATCTGCTAATCAATTCTTCAGCATAGAGAATTGATTGACAGGGGAGCAGAAGAGAACCTCTGCTCTGCACTCAGACGCTGGCATGCTGGCAATGCTGCGTTATGGAGGAAGTTTGCCAAGGGCGGACTGGAGGTGGGTGTTGCAGAAGTGCAGAACCCACCTCTGTCAGTAGATGGCGGCAGGAGAGCAGGTAAGTGGTGTCAGGTTCCCTTTATTTCAGTAACCCCCATACATGATTTTTACAATCCAACATAACTTTTTAGACGGGTTGGGAGCCCTAAACCCCCCCCCTCCTCCACCCCACGTCGACATGCTGCGATGAAAAATAATCTGGCCAGTAAAACAAATTGCAGAACTGGCACTTCTCAAAGAATAGGCAGGTCAGCCATCTGCCTGCCAATCATCCAGGCCGGTCCAGGACGTTTTTTGAAAAAAGTATAAAGTAGAATAGACAGGTGACATTTTACAGAGACTCACAATATTTTTTTCAATATATTTGATTTCAGACCAAAATTTTATGTCGCACACTAAGAAACATTGAGCGTAATTCGGGATTCAAAATATTAAACTGATCAAATGTGTGGGGAGAGGCTGACTGACAAACGCATTGTCTGTGACATGCTTTATAATTAATATTTGTGCTGTATATTTATAGAAATGAAGAATCCTGTTCCTTCCTCACCGTTGGACACCTGTCCTTTCTGTGGAAAGCCTTTCAAAAGGTTAAAATCCCACTTACCTCACTGCAAAATGGCCAAATCCAAAAAGACCTCAGAATCTCCTGCTGGTGATACACAGATGGTGAGGGGCGATATACAGATTTCTAGAATAAATCGAAACCTGACAGAAAGCTCCTTGGTCAGTATGGGTACAGTTGGGGCGAACGACAAAGGAAAAGTTAAGATGGCAGCAGTGAGTGACGCAGGACAACATACAGGCCTGCTTCAGGAAGGCAGTGAACCGATCACTACTAAATTAAAAGTCAGCAGAGCTACCACGGATCGCAAACTGACACAAAGACCAGAAAGACAACATAAGGACGTAACGAACGTCAGATCATGGAAAACACCAGCAAAGGTAGATTCAGAATTCGACAACAGTTTGAACATCCTGTATCTCCAAGGTGGTTCAACCTCTTCCAATGTCCAGGAACATATTTTGTTTAAACATTCATTAAATGATTCAACTCATCCCATGTTGTCAGGACTTGACATGAAGGTTGCTATACACAAGCAGGTCACAAAGAATCTGTTTGAGGTGGAGCTCGGAGAACATTACCCGCAAACTGTCCCAGAGGGCTCGCTTCCTGAAAGTCAAGATTTAAGTGATAAGAAAACGCCCGTAGGAAGCCAGACACAGAATGGCCTTTTAGGAACATGGCAGAACCTGCATACAGATCGGAACAGGTTATTACCAGAACATGAAGATCTCACTACAGAGATTGGATGGGGAACAGGGGAGGTTCTAGTCCCTGGTAAAACTCTGGTTTGGGATCATCTGAAAGGATCGCTTTGTGGGAAAACCTGTCTTGAGAATCGGAATGAGATTTTGAAGCAGATTCCATTGCTCTCCCATAATACCAAATCCTCACAGATAGACGCTCCTTATGGACCTAACCAAATGTTAGGTGACACTTGTGCTGTTCAACTGCAGCCTCCAGCAGAGAGTCACTCTGCCCTGGGGCCCAGTGGTAAAACAATGGAGAACATCTGGAATCTAAAACTCTTCCTGGATGCAGCTCCTGAATCCAAACCCGAGACACACTCTTCGCAGTCTCTCAGTGATGTCTCTCCAGATCATAGTCTGGGAATGGAGTGGATTCCTGAACTTTACCCCAATTATATGCATCTTCATGTGGTCCCAGGAAGACAAGATGATTGGAACACAGAGAAGACAACAGTAAAACTGAGGATACCAACAGAAACCCAGCATGGTAAGGAGTAGTGGTTTCCTGACTTGGGTGACATTGGAGAGCTTATAAAATAGATGTCCCAGTTCACAATTAATGAGCACGGCTATTTCCAAATCATTCTCTTCATTACTTTGCAGATGTCTCCTTACTATCTAAACATCTGATGGATGTTAGACTTGGAGAGCTGTCGTCATGGATTGCAAACCAGCATTTTTCCATCCAATCATTAGCGAGATCAGCACCGAATGGTAAGAGAGCAAATAAATGTTATTTTATGCCACCGCAGAGGCACAATCTGTCAATCCGTTTTCATTCAATAGATATCGGTGTGTGATACAGTGATTTCCCTGTAATTAGATCTCCTGGTGCTTGGTTGTGTCCACCATGTCCATTGTCTTTGCTATGTCTTTCATTTTTCCTTCTTACTCTGGCAGCTTGGGATCGATACTACAATAAGTATATTAACGTGAAACGAGGTGGCATTGGAGGCCTCACCATGATGCTGGCCGGATATTGTGTCCTCAGCTATGCCTGGAACTACAAACACATCCGTAAGATGCTACCACGTTATTGTGGCTCTTATTAAAACTGGATATTTAATTATTTTTAGTTAGACTTCCAGAATCATAGAGACTGTCAGGCAATTTTGTAAATTGTCTCTGTTCTGCTGTTAGCCGTAGAGCAGTTCTGCCCAGTTGGAGGTTGAGGATGGGCAACCAATAATGGTTTAGCCAAAATGGCTAAAGTAGCAGACCATTCCGGTGTAATGTTAGTCATTTTTCTGCTGTTTCTATTTTAGTAAATAAGCCCTGTAGATTAAGTTATACTTTTACTAGAAATGTTGTGATGTTGCGCATGAGAAGCTCACTCCCCTAAAAGAACTGTGATCTCTGGAAAGGCGTTGCGCAATATTGTGTATAATGCATTATGGGAACTGTGCCGTGATGCTTCCGCAGCCTACGTGCCATCAGAGGCTGCGCATGGGGGGAGACAATTTAGATGGGTGTTCATTATGAAAAACAATGCAGATTATGCCTCTCTGTTTCCCCTGGCACTAGGTCTCAGATACAGATTAGTAATGGATTATGCACTTGAGGCATTGCGGCTGCGTTAGTAGATAAATGATAACTCTTGCTTCATTAAACGCCTGTGAATATGCCATGTCTCTTCTATACAAGAGATTTCTACTTCACATATAACATTTGTTACATCAAAAGCTTTCTGTTCTCTGCGGATCATTAACCAGATCCAACCACGCGCCAGCTGGGAATATCCAATGCCAAAGATATCAATTAAAATTAAAAAGATTAAAAGATATCATTTTAAGGCCATTTCCTAAAACAGATCAGCTTCTATAGCAGTTTAATTGGAGAACCCTTCAGTCCCTGAACTAATGGTTAACCTGAGTCACTAGTTGTAGTATTAAGGTACAGATTAATGGAGTATCGAGGATATTTAAATTAGCTAATGGGTTCTTAACTAACAAAATTGCAGTATTTAGGGTTAAATTAATATTATAGATTTTTTTCCTTTCTTATCTTGCAGATTTATACATAATATAACGTTCAGAGATCTTGCTTCCCTGTTCCCACCAGTGTGCCGGTTACCTATATACCAGCGTAGCACTCTATCTTGAAAATAAATTTCCACGAGCCTCCTTTCAAGAGTGCCTTATCATCCCAGGGGGCTTGGAGGCAGGGCAGGTCTACCATTACGGCCTGAAGGGGAAAATAAATTTCCACGAGCCTCCTTTCAAGAGGTTTTGTTCCTGCGGGGCTGTGCTTGTATCTCCCATCGCTTCCTCCATTAGTCACACCGTAACTATGGCAAAAGGCACGTTGGTTTAAAAAATAAATCACACAATTAGTTTCTCAAGTGTTGTCTGCCACCATATCTGATGTTATTTGCTAAAATCATGTAGCTTTTGTATGTGTTTTATTATTACAGAACAAGATCGCAGAAGGAGGTTCCACTGACAATTCTCATACACGTAGAACCAACGTAGATATTCTGACATCACCGCGGCAGCATTCAGTCACAGATCAGCATGGCAGGGGTTAACAGCGTAATGAACAAGAGGAGACAACGTTAACACTGTGACTCTGTTTACAATCTTTTTGTAGTTGACATGCTGTGCTTTTATAAAAGACCTTCGTATTTTCGTAATGTGTGTGAAATTAACACACTTTAGCCCCAGGAAAACCAGATTATTTTGTATTATAGCGGGGAATAAATAGATTTTTTTTTAACTTAACTGATATTTATAATATTATTATTAAACAGTGAAATGAAAGAAAGACTGCCGTCTCTGTTCTCTAATAACAGATGCTCAGAGTCAAAGAACATTCGTTATATATCGATGACACGAAGCAGTACTTCGTTACCAAAACCACTTTACATTTATCAGGAATACCTGCTTCGCATGTTTGCAGATATATTTACCTCCATTGTGATCAGCATTGACTATTTTGCCCTGAACTCATTGTTTAGTTAATAAACTACTTGGTTCCCATTTAATATTTAACTTTATTTCCCTAAAGTACAAAAAAATAAAAAATGTTCTCAGTTTAACTTTCAGTTTAATTACACCAATAAAAAAGTGGTATAAAGAATTCCTCAAAGCAGTTTCAGGTTTATGAGACGTTTACTGTAGTTTGGAGAGACACCATATGACATTACGTATTTTGATAACAGTATAGTGGATTCTAATTCAAGAAAGAATGAAGAATGATACCTATTATGTCCCAGCATTTTGTCTACATACTGGTTATGCTAATAGCCTCCCCCCATGCTGGTTATGCTAAAAGCCCCCCATCAACCTGGCATTTTGGATTCATAATCCTCCATGTACAAATTAATTTTAAATAAACAGTGGGGTTTATGTACAAACATGTCACGAAGCCACGGTGCCGGTGTGGAGTGCCCTGATCACACTGGCCAGCACATCAAATTCCCATGGACATAAAGCGGCACTGTCATGGCCGCAACCGTTTGTTTTTGGTTTTTTAACCCCTCTCCTGACTCAGCTACATCTAATTGTCCCTTTTTTACCTGTTCATTTCTTGCCTGGACCTAGGTCCTGGGCGCCGCCATCTTAGTGTGGGCAGGTGAAGGTCCTTTTGTCAGAAATTTGAATGGGTATTTTGGCTATTTGTTCATTTGTCAGAAAGATGAATGAACAAATAGAAATGTCAAAGAACAGACAGTCTTCAAACAAACACCGTTCAGTTTATTACAAGGCTCGCGGCGCTCTCCTTGAAATATGTAAAAATAGAAGGGCACCAGGTCGACCACCCTTTTATCAGGGTCTCCACCACCGGCCCCGTGCACAAGACATGCCCCTACTCGCAGCATAGCGAGATTTTAATCTCGCTTATTTACTAATACTAAATAATCTTTACATAGTAGGACAATTGGCTGAAATACAATTTTGGTCTTTCAGCCTTTTGGTAGTGATATAGATCCAAATAATGATCTTTGTTATATTCAGAGGAAGTCCAAATTATTATTTCAAGTGCACTTGGAGAAGCGAGAATTAGACACCAGACACCTGTTAGTTATCAAAATAAGCCTCTGTCGTTTATTCGTCAGTTGGGTTTTTATACATTAAAAAGTGCTTACGTGCAAATACTTATTGGACTGTAGTAGGAAGGGAATGAAAGGAGTACCGATAAGGCATAGGGATGAACGTCATCTACGTATAACAGATAAGTTCCGGGAAAGAGAAAGAACAGACTGATTTAGGAGAGACAGCTCAGGTGGGGGCTCTCTGCTCCTGGAACTAGACATATATGGTCTTAGGTGTTGTTTTAAGCATAAAGCCTTTCCTGAGTCCAAGTTAGCCAATTTTAATACAGGATATCTAATATGACACCTATAAGCTTGCGGAATTAAAGTATCTATCAGAGTAGATAACTCCCTGATACTGTTGGAATTAAGGAGCTATCTACTAAGCGGCTGCATGATGCAGCACTTACCGGATCGGAATTTCATAACTCATTCTGTTAGGACGAAATTCGGTGAATTCACCGGTGCCCTGTCTAAATGGCGAATGAAGCAACGATTGACTCATGGAGGAAAGGGTGAGTATTGTGGGAAAATTTCTTTGATCACATGAAATGGAGCTGACTTAAGCTCCTCCTTGGGTCAAAGAAGGCCAGGCACAGTAAAAAAAATACATAAGACAAAGTAGTCCCTACTTTATCTAAATGTTTTAAAGAAAATTAGATCAGAAAGAAGAAGAACAGATTCTGAGAGAGGAAGTGTTTGGGAAAAGGTAAGTTCGGCATGACAGTGCCGCTTTCAATACTGGACCCAATGTACGGCATATTATCATCAAAGATAGGGTCTTTGATAATGATGCTTTTAGTATCATGGGTTGTCGATGTTTTGTTAAACATTTGCAGTATGAATTTCAAGCAGTATTTGGTTTAAAATATATCCAAAGCCGTTACCACGAAGCTGGGTAAGTCCCAGGGAGATGTGAACCACAAAATTAAAGAGATGTAAGAATGCATCCGATAGAAATTCACTCATCCGCTTGTGGGTTTAATAAAATCAGAAACTTACACCATGGCTTCGAAACTTCTCTCTTGCTTCGAAGACGAAGAGAGCGAAGAAGGGAACGCACAGATAACCAGCAAATCGCTGCACGTATTGACAAGGTGGGGAAGAAAAACAAAACGCCGACCCATCCAATCAGAACAGGAAAAACCTTTCTTGATGCTGTCGATGCATTTTGAATCGAGTATTAATGGCTTCCATTCAATGAATGAGCCCATGGTAACTTATAACAGACTTATCAAGGCCGGCAATTTGCTGCAAAAGTAAAACATTTATTTATAAATATATTTTAGTGCGTGACAGTGAATGGTGAAGCACCATTCAGCTCCTTACATCACATGCTCTATGCCACGCCATGGCGTCTATGTAGTGATTACCTACACTTTATTAAATCTGAATAGACATTGTATAGATATAGTCTACGAGGCTAGTAAGAACATCTAGAATTAGAATAGTCACTTCTGCTAAAAGTTCTGGAAAACGTCCAAGCCAAAAAAACAAAATGACAAATTATTGCGCAATGACACTCGTGGGTGGGTCCATCGGTTCCTCGCTATCTCAGCATTTTCTCAACATCACGGCAATGCGACTGTTACTGCACTTATTAGCGTAGTGCCCTCTCTCTCCGCACTGCAAAATTAGACATAGAAAAGTGGAAATGTCATTTGTAATAACGCAGATATAGTAAAGTGCACAGTGACAGTTCCTCGTTCCTCGTTCACTTACTGGAGTGAGGACTGACATATAAACACATTTACTTCAGCAGTATTGTAAAACTACAATTTCGATCTTTCACCAGTTTAGCAGATAACTCCCTAAATTGATAGCTTGCGACCGCCACCTTCATTCCTTCCCCACGGGGAATAATAAACGTCAGAATTTTGAAAATTCATTACATTTCAGACAAAATTCGGTTTGTTTAAATCTATAAAATCAGAATTTCAGGTGAAACAGTTTGAAAATGAATCGAAACAAAAGTCCCCCCTGTGGGCGCCTACCGAGGACACTCTGCTAACTTGTAGATGTTGCAATGAATCTAAAATGAGCAATTCGGTGACCATGGCTGCTGTACCGGCTCTCATGGAAAACTATGGGGGAATCCTAAACAAGTTATTAAACAGGCTATGGCCACAGTCAGTGACGTCACTAGGGGGGGCAGAGAGGGCCATGGCCCCCCCTACATCATGCTGTGCCCCCCCTTGGGCCCCCCCAAATGCCGCAACATGCTGGCCAAGGGCTTCCCTCAGACTGTAACAGCCGGGGAGGGAATGCAGGAATGAGGTGCTGGGGGCTGTCTGTGGCTGGAGGGAGCACTGATTGGCTCCCCGGCACAGGCCCCGCCCCCAAACGAAGCCCCGCCTCCCGCCGATAAGCCCCGCCCCCGCCGTCATGCAGCAGCCCATGCTGCTTCAGAAGATGGCTGCCTGACCCCCAGTGACAGGTAGGCTTGGGGAGGGGGGGTGTTCACACACTCTATACACATTGCCCCCATACACACACACACTCTACACACATACACTATCCCCATACACACACACTGTATGGACTCAGCAGTCTGTGTTTGTGTGTGTGTGTGTGGACTCAGCAGTCTGTGTGTGTATGGACTCAGCAGTCTGTGTGTGTGTGTATGGACTCAGCAGTCTGTGTGTGTGTGTATGGACTCAGCAGTCTGTGTGTGTGTATGGACTCAGCAGGCTGTGTGTATGGACTCAGCAGGCTGTGTGTATGGACTCAGCAGTTTGTGTGTGTATGGACTCAGCAGTTTGTGTGTGTATGGACTCAGCAGTTTGTGTGTGTATGGACTCAGCAGTCTGTGTGTGTGTATGGACTCAGCAGTCTATCAATAATTAAAATTCCTGTGAGTTGTTGTGTAGGAATGGCCCCAGTACATTGCTTTGCCCAGGGGCCCTTAACTCTGTTAAAATGGTACTGCTTGTGTGTGTCAGTGAGCTTCTATTTAGTGAGCATGTGTGTGTCAGTGAGCTTGTCTGTGTGTCCCTGAACTTCTTTGTAGTGAGCCTTCTGTTTATACAAGTGAGTGTCTGTAGTAAGCTTGTGTGTGAGTCAGAGAGTTTTGTCTGTCTGTAAGCCTATTTGCGCATGTCAGTGAGCTTGTGTGCTTACTGTAATATTTATATTTTGACTTGTAGGAATGGCATATGGTTTTTTTTCCAGGGCTGCTTTGGATTCCCAGGGATTCCCAGTTTGGCTCTGCCAGCGAGTGCACTTTACCGCTGAATAATCTGTGTGAGCTGCCGCACACTTTAGCCCTGTTACACGCGTCTGGGAGCTGCTGTTGACAGGTACTAGTAGTCTAGAGATTGGGACATGGGGTATATGCTCAGCTATCTGTATAATACAGATCTGTGTGTATAAAATATCCCGGGATAGACAGTGCTTCCTGTATAGTGCTGCTCTCTGTCTTGGGATATTATACACAAACAGACCTGTATTACACAGAGAGCAGCACTATACAGGGAGCACTGACTGTTCCAATTTATTCAGGGCCGTCTTTAATAACGAATGGACCCTGGGCAAGTGTTTGCTTGGGCCCCCTGTGCCCTGCCGCTCTCGCCCCTCACTCCCTGGTATGCAATCACGGCATCCATCCCAACGCAGTGGCGGTACTAAAGTAGAATGAATTTTATTGGGACCCCCAATTGCAAGGTTGGACTAAAGGTAGAACCCCATCTGTCGTGCAACTCCAACAATGCTTTGACAGCTGGGACTCTACCAATTTCCCATGCTTGCAGGGTTGTATTTAGCACTGAGCCATGTTAGTATGTTTGAATGTAAGCATGTGTTTGTATGGAGTATGTTTGTGTGAATGTGTTTGTATGTGGTACTGGAGTTTGAATGCAAGTGTGCATTTATGTGTAGTGTTTGTTTTTGAATGTAGGAGTGTGCTTGTATGTAGTGTTGACGTTTCAATGCAGGAGTGTGTTTTATATGTAGTGTTGAAGTTTGAATGGAGGGGTGTATTTGTATTTAAAGTTGCGGCTCAGATGCACAGGTACACACTCTGACGCACAAGCAGATACACAGATACATACACTGACTACATACAGATAAACAGGCACATACACTGACAGACACACTGACACAGGTACATATATTGACACACACACAGACACATACACTGGTAGACGTACTGACAGACATACTGACACAGGCACATATACAGACATACTGACACTGACACACACACACAGACACATACACTGATCAACATACTGACACACATACACTGACAGAAATACTGACACCCACACACTGACAGATATACTGACACCCACATACACTGAGAAATACTGACACACACACACAGGCACATACACTGACACACACAGACTGATATACTGACACACACACACACAGACATACTGGCACACAGACAGATATACTGACACATGCATACACATGCACTAACAGACATACTGACGCACTGACAGACATACTGACACATACACATACTGACACACACAGATATACACACACATATATACTGACACACAGACAGACAGACATACTGACACACACACAGACATACTGACACACACACACAGACGCCGACACACACACACACCCACACTAACACACATACACAAACACACACACACACACACACACACACACAAACACACACACACACACACAACACACATAAACACACACATACACTAACACACACATACACTAACACACACATACACTAACACACACAAACACACACACTAACACACATACACTAACACACAAACCCTAACACACAAACACTAACACACACATACACACAAACACATACACTAACACACAAACACTAACACATACACTAACACACACATACACACATACACTAACACACACATACACTAACACACACATACACACAAACACACATGATTTTTTTTTTTATGTAATCCCCCCAGCCTCCTTACCTTTTGGAGTGCTGGGGGGATTCCCTGGGGTCCAGTGGTGCTGCTGGGCTCCTGGGCGGGTGGCCGGTCGGGCAGGCAGGCGGGCGCGCGAGGGAGCACTCACTGCATGCTCTTCAGCTCCCTCGCGCGCCGCGTAGGGATGCCGGCGCCGGATGACGTCATCTTCCGGCTCCAGCATCAGTGCGGTGCGCGAGGGAGCTGAAGAGGAAGCAGTGAGTGCTCCCTCGCGCGCCCGCCTTCATGCCCGACCGGCCACCCGCCCGCCGGGGTCAGCGGGGCCCACGGGGCAGGTGCCTCGGGCCCCCCAAGAGAAACTGGGCCCGGGGCAGCTGCCCCGTTTGCCCCGCATTAAAGACGGCCCTGAATTTATTATACACACAACCCTGTATTATACAGAGAGCACTGACTGTCCAGGGATATTATACCCAGACAGTAATTGATAGCTGTGCTGCAAAATGTCCTTGGAATTTTTTTTTCAAATGTTGGCAACTATGGCACTGTATCAAGGATAATGTGTTTGTTTTTTTAATAATCCCTGGTGGAAAATAATGAATCCTCCACCAGGTATTATTAAAAAAACAAAACACATTGTGTCGGGGGCGTGGCTTAACATGTGACAGGGGCGGGGTCAAACTGAGGCAAGGGCGGGGTTAAATGTGCCCCCCTACTTTTGTCACTGGCCCTCCATGTTTCCCCCCCCCGAAAAATGAATCCTAGAGACGCCACTGTGGCCACTCGAACCACCAAGTCTTGTGACAACTCACAGTGGAATTAGAATGGCAATGTTACTGTCCAACAAATGATCTGATGCCAATCTCCGGTTACAACACGCTACTGGTCCTACGTACCTTGAAGCAGGTGACTTGGTCCAGGGGTCTCAGCCCATTACATGTGTGTTCCTGAATGGTTCTGAATCGCTCCTGCATCAAGCTGATCACAGTCAGGTGTGAGAGATGAGGAAGCTCCAACATTAAGCCTGGCTGCTGTGACACGTGGTCATGTTCCGAAGGCGACAAGGTGGTCTGTTTCTGGTAACCAGCGCTAATCTATGGTAGTCAGGAGGAAAATGAACAACAGGGCCAATAGGGGAGACTGCAAAACAGCGATAACAAACAGCCTAGTAACGCACTGTTAGTGTTCGCAAGAACAAAACTGATTAAAAGCCTTATAATTGGAGACTGTGTTAATTTTAATACCAACCTTTGTGTGGTCTGAACTGCACAGAATCAGGTCTGTCTTGGGACTGAAAGACAAGAAAAAGAATTGTACAAAAACACCGGTGTGTAAATCTGTATCCAGACAGGTATTCAGGTAAGTATACACCTATGTGCCCATGAGAGTAATATCTGCGTGTACATGTAAGTGTACTTTCTGCGTGTACATGTAAGTGTACTTTCGTACTACGTATTATATAATTATCGGAAATCACCAGGTTCCTTATTCCACCAATTTCCAAACTTACTGCATGTATTTACACCTGGGGCCCTCTGGACAGAATCCAACCAGATAGTTTGCGCACATTACCCTGCGCGTGTGACGGTGCTTACACACAGGTCCTGGAGAAGAGAGAACCGAGAGGTTATTTACTAAACAGTAATGGCTCTCTCTGTGTCTGACATTCTGCTACACTCAGAGTTATCTGCCAAAGCATGCATTCTCAGGAAATCAAAGTTTTGTCCAAAAGTCATTTATGTTTCTATTTGGCTAGTGGTTGTTTGTAAAAAAAATAATATATATATATATATTTGCTTTGAACGGTTCATTTTGTTTCGGTGAATAATCCAATCGGTAAACGTGCTACAAATCACTGTTTAGTGAAACGTAGCACGGGGCTGGTTAAAGTCTACTATCCAAAAACAAACATGTTAATAGTAACGGTCCATTGAGATTAAACGAAAACTCTGAGCACCATAACCACTACAGTCTGTAGTGCTGGGAACTCATCACTCCCAGCCAATGAGCTGAGCCCTGCACTACTAGAATTAGCTCAAACAGAGAGCTATTGTGAAGTTCGGGACTGGCACGATGGACCAAGATAAGACGTTCTAAAACAGTCCAATGATTTACATTGAGACAGCATTAGGACATTCCTGGTACCATAAACACTGCAGCATGCTTTAGTGGTTATAGTGCTAGGAATGTTCCTGTATCTTGCTGAGTTGTTTCATTCATGTTTTTTTTTCTCATAAATGAAGCTACTTGCAGCTGGACTAACTAAAATAAAAAAGAACAACGAGGGGTGTGTTAAAGGAGTGTATGGCTAAAGATGGTCAACCTCAGAAAGACTACTAGGACCTAAATATTTGCTAAATACATCCCAAGAGTTAAATAAAACGTAACTTTTATTGGTATAGATAAAAACTAAATAAATATATACAAGCAAAAAAAATAAACACAAGCAATTATGTACATACAGACCCAATAACATAGTGTAAAAAAATCTCCTTGATGTTGCTGCAACGTGATATGCACTGCCTGTATAATGGAATAATACACAAAGTAGCAGGGCAAACCCGGCAGCTGCCTCTGGCCCAGTTACTCCTGGAGGGCCCAAAGTAGCTGCCCCGTGTGCCCCCTGCCAGCAACCAAACCCTGTGTGCTGCGGCACCTTATGTAATCAGGGGCCCCCCTTTCATGTTGCCTGCTGGAAGCAAGTGAGGTGCCTACCAAGTAACAGAGCGCCTCTGGGGAGGTGGAGGAGGCATACACAGGAGCAGGAGAGTCAGACTGCCATCAGCCTTGGCCGTCCAGCTCCCACTGGACCCCAGGGAAGCCACCCTTCTGTACCCAAAAGGTAAGGAAACAGGAGGGTGGCTAAAATATGATGTCAATTTATATATGTGTGTGTGTGTACCTGGGTCTGAGTCTGTGCATCTGGCTGTGTGTGTGTGTTTGTCTGGCTGTGAGTGTGTGTACCTGGATGTATGTTTGTGTATTTGGCTGCAGTTGTGCGTGTGTGTATATATCTGTCTTTGTGTGTGGATCTGGCTATGTATCTAGCTTTGTGTCAGTGTGTGCATATGGCTGTGTGTGTCTGGCTGTATGTGTCTGTGTATGTTTACTTGTGTGTCAGTGTGTATGTGTTTCTGAGTGAGCATGTGTGTGTAATTGCTTCTGATCTATTGAACAGAACGAAGAGAGACATGAACTGCCTCAAAAATAAAAAAAATGTGAAAGAAACGTAGGCCAATATGAAATGGTGCCTGGGGGTACTTGTAACATTTTTGGCCACTGGAAGGAAGTCACAATATGGTTTACGGATACCACCAGGTACACAGGCAGATCTGTTCATTCAATAATTCTCTTGACATGATTTTTTGGGGCTTTTCTCTGTAATAACCAGAAGCAACGCACAAGGGGAAAAACAAACAAAACACTTGGGACACAGGTACAAAGAGAAGGGTTCCAAAAACTGTCTGACTTTCCCCATCATGGAGACTGGTGGGAGATATGAACCTACTGACTGGTTTCCTTTATCTAGACCACCTACAATGAAAGCTGGTTTGAGGAGGGCAATTATCCAGCTCGTCTTATTGCAGATACTTGTCTGTTAGTCCACCTATTGTACAGCGCTGCGGAATAATAATTAATGGTCACTTTTGGTACCTAGCTGGGCAGCCTGCTGACAATCGCACTGACGTGGTGTGAGAATTACCGTGTTTGCAGAAACCTCTGTCATACCACGGACAGTCCTTGATCTTGGAAGCCGGGTCGATATGTAGAAAGGGACAATCCTTGTTGCTGCAGTCTCCTAAAAGTGAATATCAAAGCGATCCCAAATTAGAGAAGGTGCACACGATCTGAACCTCATGTCAACTCTTTTATTACCATGGGGAAATGTGTAAACCTTGTAAAGTAGGACAGAATGTGTGTTAAAAAAACAAGCCGCATACAGTTCTGAATTATTGCGAAACGATTCAGGGTGTGATTATAAGGACCAGCAGATGGCAGCAGTTGGCCACTAGTTAAAGCCGTACATTCCAAAACAAACTGGTTCAGTGGGCGCTTCCTGGATAAGTTTTACATGAGATCCCTTAAGAACTGGGATATTTTGGGCTCTGTATTATTAGTCATGTAAAAATCACATGATTACACTCTATTCTGGGTTATTTATTGAAGTGAGCATTGTCGGGAATTAAAGGACCATTATAGTGCCAGGAAAACATACTTGTTGGTCCTTGGGCCCCCCCCTCACCCTCGGGCCCCCCCCCCCTGCTGGGCTCTAGGGTGAGGAAGGGGTTAAACACTTACCTTTTTTCCAGTGCCGGGCTCCCTCGGCGCTGGGGAATCTCCCCTTTCTGCCGTCATCGGCCGTCATTCTCAATGCTTTCCTATGGACGCTGGCGTCTTCTCACTGTGAAAATCAATGAGACAGCCACTAGAGGCTGGATTAACCCATTTGTAAACATAGCAGTTTCTCTGAAACTATGTTTACCGCAGAAAGGGTTAATCCTAGAGGGACCTGGCACCCAGACCACTTCATTGAGCTGAAGTGGTCTGGGTGCCTATAGTGGTCCTTTAAGAATGAATTGAAAGCATAAAAGGTTACTCAAACCACCATGACCTTTTCTGCTTTTAGAAACGCGGCACATTCAGACAGATTTGGGTTTTTGTGCTGGTGGCTAGTTACAGCCCGATACAAGTAACGTTGGCAGCTCAGAACGCTCGGTTCTATTATACCAAATATCATTTCTGTGCAAAAAAAATCCATCCATCGTCAGCAGGCACTGCAGGCTGGCAACGGATGTAATTAGCCCAATTAAGATCCAAACCTGCAAATAGGGCACGATGATATAGCGTTAGGAATACGGGTTTCCAACTGATCAATACCATTGTAAAAACTTTTCAAATGATTTATCCTCAACAATTCCATTGACTTTAATGGTGGTTTCTATATTTAAATCGATGCGTTAATTTGAAATTCACTATGAAACTTCTGACAGTTCTCACGCTAGTGAATAAGCCAGCAAAGTTGCAGAATTTTGTCTGTTTTTCTATTAAGCGGATATTAATCCTATGTTTTGTTTAGCCCAGACATCGCTATGGTTTAAGCTGGTTTCTGATGGAAATTCAGAGCAGAAATATTCTCAAAACAAAGCTACGTATGGCTCCGAGGAGATCTGGAATTCACAATATACATTAAAGCAGGGGTAAACTTTTATTAAGACCTTAATTTATGTAGATGACATGAGCTTGTTGACGCATTCTTCAATACAATAGATACTAGAATAAATTCTGCAAAAAGCACTTTAATTAGATTCCACTTGTTAGAAGGAATCTTCTCTACCGTACGAAAAGCAGCGAACATACAATAAATGATGTATTGTGGAGTATGGGGTCTGCTGGATGAGATGTTCCATCTTAGATACATGGAGACCCTCGCAGACAGACAGGAGACACACAGAACCCAGAGGTTGGAGCCACTGAGCAGGAATAAATCGAGCTGCACACACCCCATCCGCAAATAAACAACCCCCGGGGCCAGAGCCATCCATCAGAACATAAGGAATATTTCTACCGCCTCACCGAATTTGGAGTAGAAGTAGCATTCTGGCATGCGCCCCATATCATACACATGAAGAAACTCGCAGTTATCTCCTTTCTTGCACAGGCCCCTCAGCCAGTGCTTGCAGACCACGGTCTTCTCCCCACAAAGATGGCGGAAGGGGCACATGGGCCCTAGAACAGAGCATATAGAAACACAAAGGTTAACAGACAGACATGTCCACCATGATGTGATATGTAGGCGTTACAGAACGATAAGCTTTGATGGGATGGACCCCTATTGGGATGCAGGCCAACCTGCAGAGATTAGAGGATCAGGCGTCTCTAAAGCTTTACTTTATCCTGGAATCTAGGAAGCAGAGAACTTTACATTATGCTCCCTCTCTCACCTGCCTGGGGCTTACTGATGTCAAACGCCAGGCCAATGCGATACATAGCCTGGGAGGGCCAATGCGACACACAGCCTGGGAGGGCCAATGCGACACACAGCCTGGGAGGGCCAATGCGACACACAGCCTGGGAGGGCCAATGCGACACACAGCCTGGGAGGGCCAATGCGACACACAGCCTGGGAGGGCCAATGCGATACATAGCCTGGGACTGCCAATACGACACAGCCTGGGAGGGACAATATGATACACAGCCTGGGAGGGACAATACGATACACAGCATGGGAGGGACAATACGATACACAGCCTGGGAGGGACAATACAATAGAGAGAATTATATTATAAAGTTGTTGTTTTTTTTAAAGCTACTTCATCACCTTAAAGGAAACTGCTGTGGAATATGGTAGAACTGTATAAATAATAATAATAATAATAATAATAAGACTACAAATGTAATTTACACAGATTATATTTACATATAAAAAAGTGCTTTTGTATTTCTCTCACTAGCCAATTTATTATTTATCATTTCTTTTTTTTATTTGTGGTTTTATTTTTCTATATTTTCCTGGACAAACAGAAGATCTTTCTATGTCTGGGACTTACCTTTGCGGCATATTCCTTTAAGGTAGTAGTCACACACAGCTACCCCGGACTCTGCGTGGGGACACAATACACAAAACACAGTGATTGTTGTACATGTACACAAAACCTCTTTGTTTACATTTACACAGCACTGCGTATCCTCAAACACAAAGCACATTTTAACCCTTTCTGACATGGTCAGACCCCCAGACGAGACACACAACTAACCGATAACTGACCAATAACTGACTGACAGCTAACCGATAACTGACCAATAACTGACTGACAACTAACCGATAACTGACTGAACACACGCCTCTTCCTCCCAAACGATCCTCTTTAACCTGCTTGTGGGGTTTACTTACTAAATCATGAAATGTTGAGAAATGACTACAGAACTGTAAACTTTAGGGCAAATGGAGCCAGGGCAATGCCGGAGCAATGTTGTCGGGGCAATCCTGGAACAATGTCGGAGCAATGATGGAGCAATGCTGGGCTGTATTTGACTTGTGCTGGCTCTGCCCCTGATGTGCCTCCTTGACAGTCTCAGCCAGTCCTATGGGAAAGCATTGTAATTGGCTCAGAGAATCTCTTCTGATGATGTCAGCCAAGCAGGCAGATTAGGGACAGAGGCAGCAGCTGCAGACTTGATTAAAGTTAACACAGGGTCAGGAATACATGTTTGTGTGAATGACCATACAGTGTTCCTTTAATCAAGAACCCTATCCATTCACTGACCCTATGGTCAGTAAACGAATATATAAATTAAGTTAGGTAAATTAAATAACTATTAATAGGTGTTGAAGTTTTGTCAACAGCTGGTCTGCTGCCTTGTAACCACTCCAAAGACTTTCTTGTCTGTACAGGATATTGTGAAGCATTGTGGATAAATTGTGCATGCACAGGAATGGCCAATCATATACGTATTACATGTATTAATTGAGTGAAAGCGCTGCAATGAGCGTGCGCAATCAGAGAGTCAAGTGTTCGTCTGCTCCGCTCGCATTCATTCCTGGTTTCCCTCAATTCCACTTTGAACTATAGCTGAAAGTGAGCAAGGCCGGAAACTCTCCCATCGGTCTGACTGACATCACAGAGGATAATTTAATAAACTTACTGTCCATGCCCTGGAACGGAAGGAGAAGAGCTCCTCTCTGACCTTGAATATCCCTTTCAAGGTCAAAATTGAACTTCTCCAGTCCCGCAATCAGTTCCTGCATGACTGGACGACACTTCTAGACAGACTGAAATCCTGGGCGTCACGCTAAATTAGAAGAGGACAAAGAATTAGGGATATTGAGATCTGCATTCCTAGCTTTTAGCAAATAGATTATAAGGAAGTAAGCGCTACGGAATCTGTTGGCGCTATATAAATGGCAATAATAATAATAATAATAAGTAAAATTAAATTATAAATAAAATTCTGTCCTGTTCAGTTTGTGGTTTGTATTTTTTCTCTCATTATAAAAAAAAAATCTCTTCTTATTGGGGAAACCTGGTCACCTGATGGACACATGTCACACCCGCTGCGCTCTAAATGACATGATAATACGTCTGTTTGAGGGGCCAGGGGGGGGAGGGAGTTGGAATAAGACGTAGGAGTCCGCCAATCAAAGGGTTAATGTGTGATTCTTTCCCTCACTGCAAGTTTCTTTCCAGACAATTACTAATCACTTAAAGGAACACTATAGTCACCTAAATTACTTTAGCTAAATAAAGTAGTTTTAGTGTCTAGATCATTCCCCTGCAATTTCACTGCTCAATTCACTGTCATTTAGGAGTTAAATCACTTTGTTTCTGTTTATGCAGCCCTAGCCACACCTCCCCTGGCTATGATTGACAGAGCCTGCATGAAAAAAAAACTGGTTTCACTTTCAAACAGATGTAATTTACCTTAAATAATTGTATCTCAATCTCTAAATTGAACTTTAATCACATACAGGAGGCTTTTGCAGGGTCTAGCAAGCTATTAACATAGCAGGGGATAAGAAAATCTTAATTAAACAGAACTTGCAATAAAGAAAGCCTAAATAGGGCTCTCTTTACAGGAAGTGTTTATGGAAGGCTGTGCAAGTCACATGCAGGGAGGTGTGACTAGGGTTCATAAACAAAGGGATTTAAAGGACCACTATAGTGCCAGGAAACATACTCGTTTTCCTGGCATCTATAGTGCCCTGAGGGTGCCCCCACCCTCAGGGTCCCCCCCCGCCCTCTGGAAGGGGGAAAGGGGTAAAACTTACCTTTTCCAGCCTGAATGCTGAATGCGACGCGGCGGCAAGAGCTGCGCATTCAGCCGTGTCTCATAGGAAAGTTTTACTCACTGTGATTTTCACAGTGAGAAAGCAGTTTGTAGTGTCACAAAGACAGCCACTAGGAGGAATCATAATTATAGCAGTTTCTCTGAAACTGCTATAATTATGAAAAAATGGGTTAAGCCTAGCTGGACCTGGCACCCAGACCACTTCATTAAGCTGAAGTGGTCTGGGTGCCTAGAGTGGTCCTTTAACTCCTAAATGGCAGAGGATTGAGCAGTGAGGCTGCAGGGGCATGTTCTATACACCAAAACTGCTTCATTAAGCTAAAGTTGTTCAGGTGACTATAGTGTCCCTTTAAAAATTCATTTTGCTGGATTTTAAACTATTTAAACGTTTTCACAAAGAATTGCAGTATTTAATCAGGTGATAATCTGACCTATACACTGACTAACACACGTATAGATCAGCAGTAAATATTAAATAATTAGAGCAACATATCTTTATTTTCCTGTCCTAATGTGTTTTACACCCCACCTCCTATAGACTGGAAGCTTGTTTGAGCAGGGCCCTCTTCAACCCATCGTTCCTGTAAGTTTTTGTAATTGTCTAATTTATTGTTAAATCTCCCCCTTTGATAATATTGTAAAGCGCTACGGAATATGCTGGCGCTATATAAATACCAATAATAATAATAATAATTTGGACTGGACAATTCATACATTTTGTACATTGCAGATTGGGGTGCTAAGCAACCCCTAGTATCACCTGGTATAGTCTATAATCTGCCCCCTTCTGGCTGCCTAGCGGTCAGAGCAGAAACCTGGCGTGAGGGTAACTATCTACCAGCCAATAGAAGGGAGCATTGATTATACACAATAATCTGAACTGGATTGGAATCTGAATGGCAAAGGTCAGACTAAATTAGCCAAACTGTGACTGTAGTGGAGGATTTTGCCAGATCGGCTATTTCGGCCTTAATGCGGTCACACAGATGTCATTCCAGTTTGGAGTTTAGTGAATAAACCGGATAGTGTGCGGGTAGTGCGCCAGATAACTTGGGCCTGTGCGTCAACGCCCAAAAACCTCTATCAGGAAACCAGAGGCCGCTGGAACGTCTAAAGGGAACATAAAGGGTCACAGTTATTTACGAAAACGTGATTTCACGGTTTAATTGTCAATCAGGAAACTCTCTCAGAGTCAGCTGTTTAGCAGTTCGGCTATTTTAGTTTTTCGTTTTATATTTGCTATAGATTTCTTAAAATGAAGATTTCTTTGATCAGCCCTGAGGGTCATTGCCTGAACCAGGAAAAGGGAATAGCATTAAACCAAATTGGAAATATTCTCCAAATCAGCGATAATTATTACAGCTCGTTATTTCAGCCTGTTTGTGGTTCCCAGAATAATTCTTTAATTAAAGAACATTAAAGGGCTCATTCACTCAGCAGCAAATGTTGGACAACTGAAAATGGAATTACCAAATGTCTGCAATAGCCAAGTTGTGGATAAAACAAAGCGAGAATTTCTCCCAAACAGCTAATTTAGTCTAAATATTCCAATTCAGTTTTCAGTTCACATCCATCGGGCGCTTGGCGAATAAGAACCAGATGGATTTCCTATTATTGAATTGTTATATTGGATCAGGGATTAGGAATGTAGAATAAACACGAAAACCCCACTAATAGTCTGAGCCTGCACTGCGATTGCTGAGCAACACATTCATTCCATTTAGTTACATTTCCTGCTCCCATTGGTTTCAATGTATCTCTTACCTGTTCACCACACAGGTGTGCACAGGAAGTGATGTCACAGCCAGCTTGACCCAGGTATTGTCTAATAATATGGAGGGAGGGCTCCATGGCTGGTTAGCTACAAACATTCATTACCTGATTAACCTGTATCTCACTGACTTTATTAATATCTAATCATGGACGGTGGGCACCCTATTGCTAACTCAGCGGATCTGGCTGGCAAACACCAGGACATGGCTGTGGATTTGGCTCGGAGGTGGACAGGTGAGCAAATAGAGAATGGCTGAAACTGTGTTTCCAGATCCCACTGCCAGACTGGGGCTTATTCACTAAGCAGGTAACCGAAGTAAAACGAAATGCGAATAATTTCAGAATGGTGCTTTGGGAGAATGGAGAGCTCCAATATAGTCATTGTTTGGCTGTTTTTAATCTGAAATTTTGCAATATTATTATTCTTTTTAAATTCCCCAGCATTTACTGTTGTTTGAATAAAGTGCGGACACAGGTAAAGAGGAGCACTGTGTTCCCCTGTTCAATAACTGTTTGGCTCTTAAAGGAGCAGGCTAGCATTATAAATACACATCAGTGAAGATAATATATAATTAACAAATGCCCCCGAAAATGTTAGAGATTACCCTTCCTGATACGGGTTAGGCACTAAGCTAGGGAATGTAGAATACCAAAAATGAAACCACACGGTTTGGAAAAATTGTCCAACTCTGTTCTATTACTAGCAAAGTTTATTTTTCTCTGAAATTCACAATTCCTAAAGATTCCCAGTTTGGTGAATGATTTCCTGTATGTGATATCTTAGAGGGGGATAATGCGTGAAACTGAACGCCTCAGTGCGTGGAGACATTTAATGCGCTACAGCCTAGGGTTGTCTATTACCATTTCATAAAATATTCACTTTTTCAGGGTCACATGGGGTAAAACGCAGCCTGCAGTGTCGCTGATGCAGCCCTGGAGCAGACATACTTTAATATGCGATGTCGGCTCCAGGAGAAAGGATTGTTATCACATAGACTGGCCCTTTAATTAGTGACCCTGTTAAGATGGCATCCTGCAGGGCACCAACAATATAACTCAAACCCACCAGATACGTGTTCCATAATCTGTCCCAGAGAAACCTGAAGTAAAGGCCTTGTGTTTTTTATTAAAGGGGATTCCAAGTTCCATTTCATCCATTATTTTATTAATGTAAAGGGAAAAAATTTAAAAAGAAAAGCAAAATGTACACATCGAAAACCCCTTAATTAGACTAACCCTAGTCAACCAATGAGATTGCACCAAACCAGGAAGTAAGTTAAAGGGAACCTATCACAGACTTACCTTTCCCGTCGCAGACTTGGCGTCCGATCCCGCACTGCATTGTCCCACCCCTGATGCTTTGGGTTATTGTCCTGTTTTGGTAGGAAATTGGCTCAAATCAAGCGCTGAGTGTGTCTGCCTTCCTCCTGTAATGTTCGCCTTACCCTGTATAAATTTTACTTTACCGCCACCAAAGCACCCTGGGCCATCACTTGGCCTCCGCCATGCTTGACAGATGGCGCCAAGCACTCCTCTTGCATCCTTTTTTATTTCTGTGTTGGAGCGTTGAGCTTTCGCTGCGCCAGTCTCCGCGGGGAGACAACACCCCTGTGGCTGAGATTAGCAGAGATCGTCTATAGGAAAGCATTGACAGGACAATACGCATGAGCGGCAAAATGCATGAGACCGTCTGATTGAAATAGTCGGGTTTCACTTTGCTATTCCAGCGAAAGGACAGGAAAATGTTTCAGCTGCAGAGTTAAAACTAGAGTGATATGACCTCTCAATTAAGTGGTGTTGGGGCCTATAGTATTCTTTTATAGGGTCACCCTAAGCAAGGCATTCTGGGGTGAAGCCCCTCTGGTTTTTGGCCAACTCCTCTCTTGCCATTGTGTTAACAAGGGATTTATCACTTACCTTAGAAGTACTTACAGTAATGAAGGACACCTGCAGTGCACACAGCCTATCACTGCTATCCAAATTTAAATAACAACAATGTGAATTTTAGCAATATATCAAGAACTGCTTTGGGTGCCAGAAAAAATCTAGCCTCCACACAAAATAACCACTACACTGAGCTGCAGTGATACACTGAGCTGCAGTGATACACTGAGCTGCAGTGATACACTGAGCTGCAGTGATACAATGAGCTGCAGTGATACAATGAGCTGTAATGATACAATGAGCTGTCATGATACAATGAGCTGTGATAATACTCTGAGCTGTGATAACAATAAACTGTAATAATACACAGGGTTGTAATAATACACTAAGCTGTAATAACAATGAACTGTAATAAAATGTAGTGGTTACAGTGCTTATGGTGGCCATTTTAAACAGATCTGATAAGATGATTTGAACACACCACACAATGCTATATTTCCTTTTTTCAGATTTTTTTCATATTTGGTTTATTTTTGGTGAAAAGGTCTGAAAATATATTTGGCCAAAATGAGCGCAGATCCCCTTTTATCCTAGTTGCGTGTGTGGTGGTGTGGATGAATACTTTGGGTGGTCTAAAATGGCGAGTTGTTTAACCATTCCTTAATAAAAGTAACTTTTTTAGAATTCCAGGTATGAAATATCTTCCAGCAGCGATGTAGCTGCTACCTACGTCAGGTTCTGATTTATTTGCAGGTCCATAGCCTTTATTAAAGGGTTACTTCAGTGATTTGAAGTGGTGATGGTGGTAAAGCTCTGTATGTGTAGCGTTACTGATGGAAACTGCACATACAGGGTATATTCTGCACTAGTGTGCAAGGGACTAGGTACACTCCTGGCACACGTGACTTGGGCAGTCCGGAGCTTTGTTCCAGGCTTCTTAAAGGAACACTATAGGGTCAGGAACACAAACCTGTATTAAATCTAACACAAACTTGTATTTCTGACCCTATAGTGTTAAAAACACTGTCTACCCATTGAGGCCCTGGCTGCCGTCTACAAGGGGCTTGGAAGCCTGCACCCGGAGTTTAGCCTGGCACAGGATTTCAATTGAGTAAAACATTTTTTTTGCAGGTTTCACTGTAAACGGAGTGGTTGGCGTAACCTTTTACCAACTAAGCTGAATAACTTTTTCAAAGTTGTGCTCCCTCGCGCTGCCATGCACACACGTTGAAACTGTTTTAAACTTTCTTTTTAACCCTTTTCCTATGTGCCTCGTGTGTGCTTCGTGGAACCAAGAATGGAGTTTGTAAGCCATTTTAAGACATTGAATGGCGATAAAGCACTCCAAACAAACTGGCACGATCCTTACGTGAATATGCGTAAATGAAAGGTAAACCCTAAGCACCATAACCACTGCAGCTCAGTGTGTTATGACAGCTGATTGCAATATTACAGTTCACTGTAGTTTTTGTGGGTGCAGTCCCCCAGTTTGAGTGATTAACAATCCTATAAAGAGTGGCCCTGAGACAATATGGTAATTACAAAATCCTGGACAGATATGATTGTGCGTGTGGGCGTGTTGGAGTATGATGAACATGTGTTCAGGGTTTGGGTGCTGGGGAGAGACATGGTTTCTGTAAATCACTCAAACTGTTAAATACAAGCATGGCCCCCAAATCTTTCAACCATAACCACTACAATGACCTCTAGTGTTTATAGTATTTAGAGTGCCCCTTTAAGATGATGCATAGACATGATCTAGCAGCTAAAGGGTTAAAAAAAAGGCACATTATATTATGTTCTCAGATGCACATTAAGTGTTAACCCCTGGCTGGATTGTTGGCTTTTGTGAGATGTTGTCCTGGAGGCTGTGGTTGTTCATTCTTCGCCACTTGATTCTGCTACAATTCTTCAAACCGCGTAATAAAATGCATAATATTCACTTTGGCAGGATTCCCGGCGCAGCGCACTCTGTGCATTATTCACTGGGTTAAAGAGCCCTTTCACTAGGAGGGCCTGCTCCGTGCTAGGTCTATGGCTGAAGCCAAGAGCTGACAATAATAATGATATATTATAGAGAGAATTGGGACTTTGTGCATCCCAAGTGCTTGTGTGAAACAATGGTTTGTAAACAAACACCCAGAACGGAGTTAACCCCAGAACTGCTAAACACAGCGTGCCCAATCTACTCCCCAACCACATGGGCAGCACCGGTAGATAGTCTGTTCCCTGTGTCTTCCTCATTGGCTCCGACATTTATCACACAGAACAATATTATTAAAGAAACCATGTACATTTTTACTACATCCCCAAAACAGGATCAATTAACCCTTTTATACTCCCAAAATAACAAACCACGAATTTCTCTGAGTCCTGGCCCTCCCAGCAATAAAGATTGTAGCACTTTAACCCTGATTAGGATAAAATAAACATGAGACGGATCTTGTAGAAGAGCAATTTATGATTTTATTTGGGTCACTGTGGGTAAACAAACGTCACAATGTACTCCGCACGGCCCGTCCAGCGCGTTAAAGATACAGAGTCATTATACACAGTAGACAAAACCAAATTCTTCTCTCTTTGTAGAGAAATAACCGAATTATTTCTGAGCTGAATGTGCAATACTGCCTGGCTGCCAAAGGGTTTGTGCAAAATGTATTTTTTTTTAAAAAAATTTTTTTTAGTAAAGAAATAAACTATGGTACGAAGGACAAGCCGAACGTTAATTACTTCTATAGGTCACAGTCTCCTCTGGATGGTCGTACGTCTGAGATACGTGTAATATATTCCTTTTCTAACGAGTTAGTGTAGTAATTGGTTTACTGCCAGGAACAGGAGATGTTGGGTTCGGATTGTCTGACGACAAGTTGGGTTCACTGACTAAACAGCAAATTGTAGTGAAATGAAAAAAATTGCAACATGTAGCGAAAAATAGTTTATTTAGGAAAATTCTCTACCTCGTCTGTCGCTGTCATTTATCTAGCTGAGGCCACGGTTTAATAAACTTTCTGATTCAATACGGTAAGTATAACTTTAATACTGATTTATCCAAGTGGTCATTATTACCGTTTATGGGGATTTTTGTAGATAAAGCATTTGGAAATTTGTAACTGTGTTGAATAGCTTATTATAACAAGGCCGTAGTCTGCATTTTCCTCAGTTAGTTTTCTTCTCCCTAATATTAGAAGTTTTTGAACAATAAACTCCAATGTTTTCTCAGAAGCTATAGTAACAATTTGTATTGATCAGTAAAAACAGATGCTCTGGGCGTAATGCAGCATTTAAAGGGGGGCTGACATGAATTGGTAACTTTGTATTGGTTGCAGTTTATGTTGCTGATCATTGTGTCCCCGATCTCACCGAGCCGCAGATCCCAGCTCTGCTGAGCGCAAAATATAGCCAGATTCACTGCAGAAAAACAGGGGTTCAAAGGATACGATCAACCCCCACAGACTGGACTGGAATATTTCCACTAAACAATGATTTAGATAAACGTTTTAGTGTTTTGTTACTATGTATATAATGCATTAACAAATTGGGTAACTGTTACCCCTCTAATTCCCCTTTTTATAGGAGTATAAACTGAATGGGAGTCCCACAACATCTTCTCCCATAAAGCCAGGCCCCTCTTAAATGAAATTGGATCGTGGGGTGAAGGGGTTAAAGTGGACCCGTGCGCCAAGTGAATGTCCTCTCAAGGTGGCGCCTTAATTGGAGTTCAGAGGTCAAAAGTCAATGATCAATAGTAATTACAGCTGAGCTGGCAAATATTTTTGTTGATTTTCTAAATATCCAAATGGTCTATCAGACAAAAATAAGATGAATTCACCAAAGTAAACCGGCAGGTAAATCTCACTATGCTGAAATAAACCTTTAATATATGACAGCAAACGTCACTTGGTCTCAGCTCAGAGTCCTGCAAGCTGCATAGGATACATGTATTTAATTTAAAAAAAAAAAAAAATTATCATAAGGGGCATTCTGCCAGGCACAGTCACGGTACTAGAGCAGCCATCTATCAACAGTGTAGTGTTTTTATTCAATAAATAATACAAATAAAACGTTTCCCTAAATCAGACCATAATAAAATAAAATAACATCCTTTATTTCTCCCCTTCTTTCTCAAGCAAAAAAATGATTGGCCAAATGTAAGATCAATAATTCTGGGGCAAAGTTCTAAACATGAAGCTGTCACCATGGCAACACAGGGGAGTGTCCCTACTGATTGGGTCACACAATATGTGCAGAATCCTTCCTTATACATCTGGGCCAATACGTAGACTAGCCGTAACAGAGAACCGATAACCTCTGCACTAATTGGTCTCTGCTGTGAAGGAACACCGCTCCTTCTATCAGTTGTTGGACTACAACTCTCATCCCCTTAGCCAACTGATGAAAGATAGTGGCAGTCCCAACAATGGCTGCAAAGTTATAGAAAAATCGTGACATTCTAAAACCTTGGCTTTGTTAAAATACTGCTTCTCCTCCAAAAAAAATCAGGGTCAGGGGGTTTAGCGTACGGCTTGGGAAAGATTTAGGACACTTGTCTTGTTCCTACTCAATGTTTGAGCTGCCCAACACATGACAAATTATCGCCACCTTCTTGGATTCAGATCCTTCATTTGTTTAATAGCTGTGACTTTGAGGACAAATAATGGATTTGAGAAGAATGGGAACTGGCTAGAGTTTAAACTGTCTCCATGTGAATGGGGCTGTAAACTCATTAGTATAAATGTATGGGGGGGGGGGGAATGGAAGGTCAGCGAGTGTCAAGAATATATAATCTACAACAAAACTTAAAAACCAAATTTACATCCTTTTGGAGGGAGTCCTCAGACAGTCAGATGTCTGGCATACAACAAACCGTTATTGTTTGTCCTAATTGGGCTACCACCTTAAACATGACCCATTGCCCCAGGGGGCGATTCTAAATGTGACATTCAACCACTGGGCTGCTTTACAGCGTGACGCTAATCTCTCTCTGTCGTCTGGGATCAGCTGCTTGCTTTTAACATTTTGCCCCAATTAGAAAGCTTTTTGTCTTGGTTGGAGTGGAAATAGAACACAGGATCCACTCACGTAGTCCTCAGCACGTTCTAGGTCTTGCATATTCACGTAAGGATCGTGCCAGTCTGTTTGGAGTCCTTTTCGCCATTCAATGTCTTAAAATGGCTTACAAACTCCATTCTTGGTTCCACAAAGCACACACGAGGCACATAGGAAAAGGGTCAATGCCTGAATAGCTTCCCAAGATCAACAAGGGGGTGAGCCAGTTCGCTTTACATTTGGGCAGTTTCTCCATTGAATAAAGAGACTACAGATATATTTGCTTTTTCTACACCCTAATCTCATCTTCGTCTTCCTCCTCGTCCATGAAGGAAAAGTCTCTTCCCTTCCTCACCTTTTCACCTGATGTACTTCTGGAGTCCGAATTCTTGCCTTTGGTGTCCTGGCTAATGCCAGATTTAAGGCGAGACGTGGCTGCCTTACTCCCAGGATCAGGTGCATATGTTTGGTGTCCTGGATGTGAAGGACCTGTGCGCCAAGTGGACACAGATTGCTGGCCAGACTGTATCCCATTTCCATCGAGATCATCCAGACTACGGTCCAGATCATGTTCCCAATCACCTTTGTCCATGACGCTTAAAATGTCTCCAAGCATGGATGGCCCTAGGTCAATGTGAAAGGACATGATGGACTCTGCGTGCTTCATGCCGTAGTTGCTTTTAGAAGATGGTTCTGGTAGCTCTGTTAATTCCCCAAACTCTTTCTCAGCCAGTGCAAGATCATGAATGGGTGGTGGGCTCTGAGCCGAAGCCCCATTTATGTGTTGCTCAGGTACCTTTTTGACGGGGCTGGATGACAAGCTTTTGGGCATTTTCTTGCTGGAGGAGCTTTTCTCCATCTCCTTTTCAGTTAACTGGGGCAAAGAAACCGCATTTTTAACAAACAGGGCAGAGTCTCTGAGCGACCCAAGCATGTCCCTTCGATCACTGCGGGTAACTGACAGAGAGCGTTTGCTGCTGCGGAAATGTCTGGATAATAGACCAGGCTTGGACACTGATTCTTCCGGCTCCGGTTGTTCCTCTCCTTTGCTATTGAGAAATGAAGTATCTCCAAATGCATCTCCAGCCCTTCCAATGTGCATCGTATGGCGAAAATCCCCCAAAGGAGCGCTAATCATCTCCGCTGTGAGGTCTGCTCGAGAGCGTCTCTTGGATACATTGGGGTTTGTTACCAACTGCTTTAAGATGGGCATCTTGGCTTCCTTGACCGTCTCACCGCTGTCCCCTTTCACACACAATCCAATACAGAGTTAATAATATTTCCCAAGATTGATAACAATGTGCCAAGAAGTGACGTCAGCGTATCCGTAGGCAATTTCTCAAAACTGTGATGGGTTGTTGTATAGACAAGTCCACATCCAAGAGTACCTGGAGGGGAAAAAAAGCAGAAAAGTTAGGTGTTTGTGTAATCATTGTGGAGCGTTCAAATTGTAAACAAATCAATACATAGAATAAAGCTCAACAAATACGGCGATTCCCCTATAAACCATATACAAGTGTACGGCTATTGATTTATTAAACCCCTCTGGACAAGGAGTTAGTCTCATGGTATTGTGATCGTCTTGGCATGTCTCTTGCACTGAAAGAGGTGAATTCACACATGTCTGAAACCATTCCAGTGGGGTATCCGTCTGTATCGACGCCATTAGCCATTATTGATCTGATTCATCGAGAGGTGGGGAAACCGAGGAATTATAGGCAGAAGAATTTTGGATGGAGGTAAAAATGTTTAGCGTTGGCAAGAAGGGATGAAAAATTAGACTGGTCTGTAGGCATTGATGGACCGAAGGAGGGCTAGGGAAATGAGAGGAGAAAAGGGGCATCAAATGGCAAGACTTGAAACAGAAGGTGCAAATGGTTTGAAGATGGTGGGAAAGGAGAGCCAGTTCTGTACAAACTGATATAAAATGTATTCCCTAATTATAATGGTATTTAACTGATATTAAATGTATTCCCTAATTATAATGGTATTTAACTGATATTAACTGTATATCCGCATATATGGGGCGGAAGACATTCACGCCACCCTGACCGACCGTAAAACGAAACATACGGAGCTGTGGCTCCCTTGGTTCCTATTCATTACCCAATACAGACAAAGAGCAGATCCTCCTGAACCCACTAATGGAGTGACAGCAGACGCTGGTTCCACTTGACGCAGACTAACCCACCCTATCTCCCTTTCTTTTATACCTATTCCTTCCATATCTTTCTTCACCTTTGCAATCACTTAACTAATGGGCTCCGGGTCTCGGGGCTGAGGGAGGGGGCTTAGGGGGAAATATTAGTAGACGTGCAATTTGCTACACCCTCACGTCACGTATGCTTTTAGTCCCCGCAGGATCTGAACGATAAATCATGGCTTGGGGAACACGAGATATTCTTAGATGCACAAACCGAAGTAAGGGACAATACGTGTTCATCACTTATGGTTGTGCACCGAAAGGACCCACTTCACGCTCACCAAATGCTAACGCTGGTACACACACCAATGACGCAGCACATTCACTCACATTGACACTCGCGTTGTCAATACCAACGACATGTAACTCGCAACACGGGATATTAGCGTATTGCAGGCTTTGCCAGGATTGGTAACGACGCTGGCCTTCACGCATGCTAGCCACGAACTGGGAATACTCCCACTATTTTTGCGTGCTAGGATACACCTAGCGACACCCACACGGACCTACGGGCCCGAACCTAGCGGGAGCCAGTGGCTTGCCTTTCATACAATGACTTCAATTACCCGTTTGAAAGACCAGGTAACACAGTGTTATGTGGCTCCCGCCATAAATAGCTGAGAACGACCTCTCCCGACGCAACTCCCGTTTACCCTTTACGCACATATTGGCTAAGGGAAGCAACCTGTTTGTTACAGCCGTTCCATTTTATATAATACTACTGTTTCCCCTCGTTGTATAATTATATTGCTTTTAAAATGTCGACCGCATACTCACCCTGCATGAAGACCTACGAGTCTCTCTAGGGGAAGTTATGTGGAGATTTGCATATCTCATTGTATTCTATTTTGTGTACTAATATACTATAGAAACCTGCGAGTTTCACATTGTTTACCCACTCACTGCTTTCTACGTAGTGACCAATCTCAATAAAAAGATTTTCAAAAAAAAAAAAAACTGTATATCCGAATAGTTATTTAACTGATAACATTACAATATTTAAACAGGATGTAGATACATTTAACTTTCGTTAGTTTGTAATGATCGGCCTTGACAACCAAATAAATGATACAGAACGTCGCAGCCTTGGAAGGATTAAAGGCTGTGAACAGGTATTGGAGATCTGGTACTGGGGAAGCAATATGGAGTATTCTAGGAATACAGAGAAAGGAATGGGTATATTTTGTGCATTTCCCTTTTATCTAAAGAATCAGTCTATCACTTTAAATTAAGCATTTACGCCACCTATCGGCCCCCAATCAATCAATTAGCTATAGGGAATCGCTCTCTAGACTTGCAGAACTGTTATTAACGGACAGGTTAGGGTATTAATGGTGACAGCCGTCAAATCCAGCAGCGTCCCTGACACTTAAAGACGGTGACGGAGTTAGCTAGCCAGAAAACGCTGGCACTGCAACGGGGAACAGGCTGCCGGGTCTGCAAGTCGGTCGGTTTACAAAGCTGCGAATATGTCTACCTCCAGTGATGACGTGAAGGGGTTAATAAAGCATTGCTTAGCAGTTACAGTATTTAGAGAATGGGCCGCATGCCCAGCATTGTAAAATCAAATTCCAGCACATTTCAACGTGCGCTGATAGCCAGTTACTATGAAAGTCTATAAACTGACTATTTAGCTGATACTTAGTGCTTTTAGCAAAACTGGTGACGCTTGCTTGAGGGGTATATTCACAGGATTACAGCGTTCACATCAGATCAGCCTCACACTGAATGGTTTTCATACAATAGCTCTCGTTACGGAAAGCATGACATTATAATGGCAAAAAATAGATATATAAATAGATCCTGTGACTAATGTAAACTCTGCCCTGTGTCCAAAGCAGTATACAAAGTACATCTAATTATTATTTTTACTTTTTTTTTATTTATTTTTTATGGGTTACTCCAAGCACCATAACCACTTCAGTGATTTGAAGTGATGATGGTGCATGGAGCCTGTATGTGCGGCATTTAACGTTGAAAGACTGCACGTACACAGTTTTGACCCCTCTGCTGCTGGGGGTGTGACTATAGGAGGTCATTGGCTGAAAGCAATTAGCTGTAACTTGCCTGCAATCCAGCGCTAAGGCACACTCCTCACTGCTGCTTGATACGCCATGGTAAGACTCTCACTGTGTGCCTACCGTGCATGCGCAGCAATCTGTGCTCAGCCAACCCAATCCTTATCTATGAGAAGCATTCATCACATTCAGTGTCGTCATGATGTACGTGATGGCGCTGAACATAAAGACCTTCAAACAATAAAGGTCTGTGGGGAAGCTACTCTAGTGATGGTCAGTCTGACGGCCACCAGAGTTATGGTTTTTGGACTAATGTAAATACTGCCTTTTTTTCAGAAACCAAAATGGTTACATTGTCTAAGAAAAGGGTCACTATCTGTGCACCAAAACCACTAGAGGGGGCATGCTGTCCTCATTTAACCGGATATTCAAGATACAGTCTGTCCAGCCATCCCTTTCTCACATAGGGCGACCTGGCTAATTATAGAAGAACGACATTCTATTTAAAAAAAACAACAACTTTATTTTAGGGGATTTATTGTTGGAGTTGAAGGGATTGTCTGCTGTGTCCACGTGGAATTACAAATGAATTCCTGTCTTCTAGCAGAGTAAATAAACACCAAACTGCCAGCGTTATTGGCCCAAAGCATTCTGGGTACGAATCTGATATGACTGCAGTTGTGTGTGTGACCTCCCATCAGCAGAGGGGCCTGAGCCAAATAGTGGCGCTGTCAGTGCAAGTATAAACAAAAACACTGTGACGGGTTTCATTGTGCCTGGTCGGCAGAATCTGCCAATTCCCCCCGGGAAATCCTGACCCAGCTCTCTGTATCAAAAAGTATTCTGCTCACGTGTTAACCACTTCCTTACCAGACACCGGGCCACCGCGCAGCGCCATGCTTGAGCCTTTTACATTTTAACCCTATAAGTACTCTACAGTGCAAACCGTTAGCATCAGGGGGATACCAGAAAAACACTGTCTTCTTAATAGTCGGTGTATAGAGAATCTTTGTATATGTGAATATTGGCATCTTGTATGAAGTCAGTTGCGCATGTACAGTAAGCGCCCATAGCAATGAATGTGAGACCAGGGATTGACTGATAATAGCACCCTCTCTGCCTTCCTATCAGATATTTTAATACATTTTCCAGTGCGGTTCTGGATTTGTCTTCCCCGATGCCTGAAAAGATCTCTATAATGGTTTTTCTCATTTATATCTCCATTATGTATTTTATATATGGTTTTTAAGTTAACGCATCATTTCCATTTATCTACTAAATTAAGAAGTAATCCAAGCATGTTAACCTCTACGTGTAGATGCAGTGGTTATGGTGCAGAAGCAGTGGCGGATCCAGAAAATAGTGCAGCTCCCATAGGGGAGCTACCTCCTCAGGGGCTCTTTGTTAGATGGGGCCCCTTTAATGTTGCAGGGAGTGCTGGGAGGAAGTGACTGTTACTTCGTCCCAGCTTACAGACTGAGGGGGCTGGGAGGACACATAGAGTAGGAGCTTCAGACTCCCATCATTATCAGCCAGCCCCAGGAAGTCCCCTCCCTGCAACCAAAAGGTATGGAAGCAGGGGGTGGTTAACAATATGTAAACTGCAATTTGTGTGTGTGTGTTTGGTTACGTATGTGTGGGTGTTTTGGTTAGGTATGTGTCTGTGAGTATGTGGGTGTGTGTGTGTATAGTTAGGTAGGTGTCAGTGAGTATGTGTGTGTATGTATGGTTAGGTAGGTGTCAGTGAGTATGTGAGTGTGTGTATGGTTAGGCGTCAGTGAGTGTGGGTGTGTGTGTGGTTAGGTAGGTGTCAGTGAGTATGTGTGTGTGTGTGGTTAGGTAGGTGTCAGTGAGTATGTATGTGGGTGTGTGTATGTATGGTTAGGTAGGTAGGTGTCAGTGAGTATGCGAGTGTGTGTATGGTTAGGTAGGTGTAAGTGAGTGTGCGTGTGTATGTATGGTTAGGTCGGTGTCAGTGAGTGTGTGTGGTTAGGTAGGTGTCGGTGAGTATGTGGATGTGTGTGTGTGGTTAGGTAGGTGTCAGTGAGTATGTATGTGGGTGTGTGTATGTATGGTTAGGTAGGTGTCAGTGAGTGTGTGTGTGTGTGTGTGTATGGTTAGGTAGGTGTCAGTGAGTATGTGGGTGTGTGTGTGTGGGGTTAGGTAGGTGTCAGTGAGTGTGTGTGTGTGGGGGGGGTTAGGTAGGTGTCAGTGAGTGTGTGTGGGGGTTAGGTAGGTGTCGGTGAGTATGTATGTGGGTGGGTGTGTATGTATGGTTAGGTAGGTGTCAGTGAGTGTGTGGGGTTAGGTAAGTGTCAGTGAGTGTGTGTGTGGGGGGTTAGGTAGGTGTCAGTGAGTATGTATGTGGGTGTGTGTATGGTTGGGTATATGTTTGTATCTGTGTGTTATTGTGTTTCTATGTCCCTGTGTGTGGCCTCCTATCACTCTGCTGCAGCCCTTTTAACCCCGCTACAGCCACCACCAGTGCAACTCCTGAGACTTGGTTCTGGATCCACCCCTGGTGCTGTTAGACTGCAGGCACCGTTTTCCCATTTTGCAGCCACAATATTTAAATGACTTGACTAAAACAGGGACATCCGAGATCCCTGTGTCCTGCGCCAACATGGCTGACTGAAAATGTTATCATTTGTCCTGAAGTTTTAACTCAACATTGAATTCGCAATGAATAAACTTTTCTGGGATTTATTTATTAAACGGTGAATTGTAAACCACACTGCGCTATCCAGGACAAAGCGATGCTTTTAAGAATTCTCCAGCTCAGTATAGTCACGGCCTGGCTATTTTCTAGAGGTAATTTTGCAATAAATGTTTCACAATGAAATCCTGCCTGTTCTTGCCGTATCTGTGAGGACACAGATTGTGGTCAATAGATTGCTCTCCTCCAATCAGCGCTGAAATCCAATATTATTCTGTTTTACCACTTCTGCTGGGATGCTGTTCCATGAACCAGTCGGATGACATTGTTTGGAACCTGTGGCTCGCTCCCGCTGTAGAAGCAGAGGATGCTGCTAGTAATGCGGTTTATTTGGAATAAGGCAGAGCCTGACTGATACAACATATTATTCCCCTGACTCATTGCCCGCATTAACCAACGTCCCAAAGAAAACACTAGATCGACTCCTACGTGACTGAGCGTGTTGCTGCTTACATCTGGACTGAGTGAAAAAAATACAATATCTCAGAATGTGGAAAGCCACCTGACAAACAAATATTATTAATGTTTAGCTCTGTAGCTTCCAACAAACCCGAATCCAGAGTGACAGTCCTGATTTGGGACTACTGGTCTGATAACTGTGGTGACGTCAAACGGCAGAGTGCTCCGTTAAATGCCGCTGGGCGAGAGCCTTTCCTTAGATCGCTCTGCACGGGTTCCGCTGTTTTAAGGTCAGGCAGACTTCTTTTCTGTTCTTAATTAAAATCCAAATAAATACGGGTAAAATCTGCAGCAACATAGCTCTACACGGTGGGCCCAGAAAACGGCAGGTGAAACCATTATATTGTCACAAACACAGGAGCCATCATTCATTTAAAAAACACACTCCTGGCAATACTGTGCATGCGAAACCAATGTCTTTTGTAAATCATCATATACCTGTATGAACACCATTCCTGTCTCTGCAGCAACATTTGAAGTAATTGATTACCAAGAAATAACCAAACAAAAACCGCGTCTTTGGAAGGCCCGTTAATGTATTATCGCTAAAATAAGTTTTATAAAGACACAGGAGGTCTGGAAAGCCTCAAATAATTCCTTAAGGAGTTTAGTGTCCCTCAACACTCTGACACTCAATGTCCACTTATCCTCCATAATTGTTACGGTACAAGGAGCTACATTTTCACGTCTTAATTCATTGTTGTTGAAAAGATTTGCATAATAAATATGCATTTATAATATAATATCAGCAGCTGCTATGACATCATGTGCTGCCGACTTGTCAAGTTATTTCATTCATGTCTTTTCATGAATGAAGCGATTTATGACTATAAACTCATGCTGGCCTAGGGCTCATGGTACGTGTTGTGTGTGTGTGTGTGTCCAGTGAAAACGATGGAGCAATCAGGATTGGCTGAGAAATCCCAGCCAGTTACTGACGCAGGATACATGGCTGATTCAGAAAGAAGCAGGTCTTTAGAATTGTGTTTTATAATGAATAAGGCGAACAAGAGCTGGATGTACAGCAGTGTGTACGTGTGTGTCCATTGTATCACTCATCATTCTAGCAACAAAATGCTACCAGATGATCTCTACTTTGTGTGCGTGAACGGGCCCTGGGCATCGATTTACTGCAATTCCCCCTGTGCACACGTGTTCAAGGAATCATGGGATAATTTAAATTTACATTTTATGCCAGACTGTGCCAAAACAATAAACCCGAATCACCATTTTAACAATAAATAGTCTGAAATTCTGGCATTTCTTTCACATTTCCAAATGACTTGTTTTTATTGCAATTTTGTCCACATCTTATACTTTTTTTGGTATATCAGCGATGGTAAAAATCACAGGATTAAAAGCCGGGCTGCAGTTTTGTAAACTGGTTTATATATGTTTTTGGTACACAATCCCTTAGACTTCCTTTTGATAAATACTCTATTAGCCACTCGTGGAAATAGCCATGTTTGCCCGCTGGGTCACTACAGGCCCACGTATAAAATAAATATTCCCTAATAACCTCCACGGGTATAATAACCAGAGAATAAGCACAAAATCTGCCTGTGTTTTGTTAGTTCTGAGGTTTTTTTTGTTCCACTAACACATTTGATACAAACAATCAATGGGGATTAGAATAGACCCCGTTTTAATTATAATTATATTTTTGGATCGTTATCCCTCTTCGCCCTCAGACCACCTTGATTTCCAGAACTGAAAGCCATTTTATTTTTTTAAATCCTAAATAAATGCAATCTTTAAAGAACTACGGCACGTTGGCACTGAATATGTAAGTGCGCCTGACATTTGACTGTCTAGTTTGTGTTCCTTTAAGGATGTCTACCCGTACTAGGCCTCCAGCAGAAAGTGAAAATACAGGCTCAGACAACACAGAGGGGAACACTGTTCTACCCAAGCAGTCAGCCAACGTGCAACCCTTCCAAAAAGGCCGGGAGTGCATCAGCTTCACACGTCCCGTGCAAACGCTGCTGGAAGAGCCTTAATATTTGGGATCCTGTGACTGGTTGGTGTGAATGGACTCCTTTATACCCTGCATCGATCTAGCAAACCGCCAACACCGCTGTATACCTCCTCATAACCAGCCCGCTGGACTCTCCACCACAAAGACTTAGTGTGCAAAGTTAATATGCCACTGGACGAGACCATCGTGACTAGAGATGGGATCCTGGGGAAGTGTACTGTGCTGTGCAAAGCCTTCTATTTAACCCATTAAATATCCCAATTATCTACATCAGGATAATAATCTGGTACTTGGGGACCCCACTCTGATACAGAACCTCTCAGTATATCCTTCTATAGCAGTGGTCGGACAGAGCGGGAGCATGCAGGACCATGCTCGCTGCCACAGGGTTTACACAGACTGCGTTGTGAGGAATTAATGTATTACCGTTTAGTTATTGGTCCTGTATTAGTGTTTAGGGAATGCCTCTCTTGTCCCTACAGAGCATGATTTTTATCCCAGAAAATATGAAACTCTTGAACTTCGATTGTTTCCCACTATTTCTCGCTTTGTGTCATTCTGAGCATGAATCCGCAAAACATGCGCAGTCATTTGTGTGCATGCGCACTGTGGTGATCCTGTAGACCAGATTTGTATTTGATCAGGGATTTAAATCCAGGCTGGACCATGAATTGGCTCAGCACTGCTCTGATCTGATCTGCTATTGCCCAACTTAGACCTCCATTTAATTAGCTTTCTATTTGATTCAATCCATTTAGAAACATTTCCAAAGGATTTATCTACAAATATCCCCTTAGACTGTAATGGTGAGTTGTGTACGTAAAACACGTGGAAACTTTTCTCACAGTATTGAATCATTTGAAAGCTTATTATTGGAAGCCTTCATAGCTTAAAGGTTTGGGGAAGAATAAAAAACCCCATGACCACAACGAGATTTTCATGTACAAGTTATTACTCCGATAGGGACTTCCTAGAACAGGGGTAGACAACCTATGGCACATGTGCCATGCACGGCACTTGAGGGGTCTTTGTACGGCACTCAAGGCTGCTAGAGCCAAACAGGCTCTGGCCTATCAGGAGTCCCAGTGAAACTTCAGATATCTGCTAATACGAAAAGGTGGTGAGGGACAATCCTCAATTTATGCATTGCAGCACGTAGAGGAAGTGATTTCAGATCACTTCATTCCAGCACTTGTAAATGGGAATCTGCACTGGAGTAGAGCAGCCCGCAGCCACTGTTGCAGCTCCTGTCCTTGAGCTGTACCTGGTCAGCCTGGTCCCCACTGGACCCCAGGGAAGCCACCCTCACTGCTAGAATAACCCTCTCCTCATACAAATAATACGAACAGCCCACACACAAACATGCGTACAAACGTAACACCACTAACAATCCAGATACATGCACACAACCCCACATGCAATACCCCAAACAGCCCCTCACATACACACTACCAAACACACAATGTGACATATCATCCACACACAATTCCACAAGCAGCCCTCGTACACAGCCCACATTTATAGGTGTCATACACGATACCACAAACTACTAATGAACATATACAATATAACAGCTCATATACGCACAAACACAACGATACAAAGCAATCACAGTATCAATAACACAAGCAGAATACGGCAACATACACACCTCAATTTAAAATAATAGCTACGGGCCATCACAATCCTATTTCGGCACAGTGCTCCTAAAAGGTTGCCTACCCTATCCTAGTACATCAGCACTTTCATTTTAATATAAAATAGTTACATTTTTCCCTAGCCAGCTTTCACAAGCAGGAAATGTTGTACTGCGCTGTAGAATATGTTGGCACCTTACAGCTAAATACATTTGAGATATTTCCATTGTAAAATCCACCGTAAAGGCGGAATTCTTTTTAGATGCTGTGTAACTTTACTGTTAAAGTAAAACATTTTACCCTCCTCTAACAGGAATCAAAATAGTTTTTCCCCTAAACTGTCCAACTCCTGGTTCTGTCTGAATGCGTTCGTTACAAGTTGGTGTGTATTGAATGGATTTGTTCATTCCTGTGGATTAACCATGTGTATGCCAGAGGACTCGCTAATTCCAAGTGTTTTTAGTAAGATTATCACACAGATGTTCCCACGTTCTAGCCAGGATATAGATTGTACATTGCCATGATGCTACCGGATCACTTATTAGAGTTTTAAATTATTATATCCAGGGATTCCTTTATGTGGATTTGTTAAAATGATTATTTTATATGCTTTACTCACCCTGAAGGCTGGCCGTCTCTCAGGCCCAGTCACGTTAATGTGAGTTTATGTTATAGAATAACATTCTGTCGCTGACATCTGATGGGATTGAGTCATTAGAAGGGATGACATCATAAACACACAGGCAAACAGAAAAACTCCCAGAGCTTCAGGCTAGGAGTGTGTGGGAACTCCCCAAAAACTGCTAGAATTGCCCAACGCTGTTAAATACTCCCTGTATCACACTCATACAGTTTGTGTGTTTCTAAGCTCTCATTCTGTTTTTTTTTTACTGCAACTCACATAATTCTCTACCAGCCATTTACAAATTAATATGGATCGTCCATCAGTTATTTCGTAAACTATCGTCCCTGCAGGCAAAATACTTCAATAATACTTTGCGGTTTGTGTGAGAGCATTAGGTTTGCCCTGGGGCAAAATGAAATCACCATGGTGATATGACCTCTCTGGAATTGTGTTAGTTAATACACACGGCAAAAAAAAAACCCACAACCACACACAGCGTTACAGGATGTGCAACACCTGCCCGTAACGTCTTCAATCACCAGCAATAACTCCACAAGGAGTCTCCATTAGACATCAAGTTGGATGCAGCCACGGGCCACAAACAATGGCTATTCAATGATTCCAGCCGTGCAACAACATCTGTCAAGGGCCCCGGAGTACACGTCAGCACCCATGTCTCAAAAGCTTCTAGATCAGGTCTACTCTGGTTCTAAATCAGGAAAATTCTACAAAATTAGAACTATTGTAGCTAAACATTCCATCGCGGTAACTCTTTATAAACATTCTGCCACCCATTTTCTGCTGCCAGTCCATAAATACCTATTGTACAGCGCTGCGGAATATGTTGGTGCTTTATGAATAATAATATAAAGGACCGAGGATTCGATCTGTACATGTCTCTGTTATGGGCCTCAGACAGTTTGGTTGTGGCTTGGCGTTGTTGGTTTATCTCAGCCATTTACCAACTGCTGGGACTTGAATTGAGAAGACTGAGGTGTAGATATTGGAGGATTTGATGAGTGTGAAATGTCCACATCGCTTTGATCCAGCAGCAGACGGGACAGAGATAAGATCTCAGGTGACAGATGGTAAATTCTCACTTGGTATTACCCTGATTACTCTGAAGGTAAAATGGCATCAATTGGCCGTATTGCGCATTTATCGCCGACCACTTTACCCGAACCCTGGGTGAAACACGCTCTAATCCCTATACGACAGGCCAGTTACACCATCCAACCAGCGGTGTCTGAAAAGATAATGGGGCCTATTCACTAAACCTGCAACTGCAGTCAATCTGCAATAAATGCTGGTTTGCAAAATATTCTCTAACTGAAATAGTCTCAGCTTGACGCATTCTTCGCCAACGTGAGAGCTGACAGAAACTTGGAGACAAAAATCACAAACTGGGAAAAGTTAATCATGTTTTCAGCTACTTTGGACTAAAACGTCTCTTGAAATTCCCAACAATTCCCTCTTTAGTAAATACTTTTTTACATTTTTTTTTTTTTATTCAGCTTTGCATTCCCAACAATTCAATGTTTAATGACGCTCAGTCCAGTCTGCTATTCCTACATTCTAATATTTGACCCCATCGTGCACATTCTGAAATAAACTCCCAAATCCTAATTAAACGGAGCCCTGTGAGTGCCAGCGCAGTCCTGATCCTTGTAATCTCAAGCAGCCATCATTTTATAGCTACACAAAACTATTTAGAAAACTCACACAGAGATACAGAGCGTTTACATCTTCATAGAATCGGATTGTAAACGTTACAAAAAACCAAAACAAACCGAAAGTCCTACAGCCAAGTGAAGAGACCCTCCAAACCCCCAGCAGTGAATGGGCTGCAGCACACAATGAGGGCAGTCAGGCCTTTGTGTTGCTTTTGAACACACGCACCCCATGGCTGGGACCAATGGCAGCACATTCTAGTAAATCCCCACCGCCCATCCCTCCAGGCCAGGCTGTAACCACTGCAGTGCCGGGTGCAGGATCCCACACTAATAACCCTCCCAGCTCACTGCAGATCAGCAATGCAGGGGTTAAGCAATGTAGCAAGTCCACATTGTTGCAGAGTATCGGAAGCCCAGACAGGCTGCATGCTGGATACAATGTAGCAGAATGTCTTATTACTTATATAGCTCCAACATATTCTGCAGCGCTGTACAATATTATAAAGGGGGAAATGTTACAATAAATGAGACAATTACACAGTGACACAGGAACAATAGGTTGCTGAGATAATGACTTGGCAGAATTGAGGAAGGTTCTAGGAGTGGCCACTTACCTGTGCTGATACTGTGGCAGATTCTGAGTTCGGCGTACGCTCCCAGGGGCCGAGATCTGTGCCATTCGCCCTCACAGAGGAACTGTGCCAGTCTGTGCTCACACTCACATAAAGACCTGCAGTACAATGCAGGCCCCTCCCCCTCCCAGCAGGCCCCGCCCACAACACTGTTTAAAGGGACAGTCCAGCATGTGTGTCTGCATGAGAACAAATGGATTTCAGCTAAACAAGCATGTAAATAGCGTTTATTGTCAGAGTATCGCTTTCAGAGACGAATCCATTCAATTTACTAACAATGCAATCTAATCTGGAGGAAAGTCTGCTTTTAGATTAGTGGGTAATACAATCAGAGTTATCTACTAAAGGGAGAATTGTCAGGAATTCAGTGATTTCACCCCCCCCATCTCACCCTGCCCCACCTGCACAATCCGTATTTCCGAACGATAGAAATACAGAATCTATAAAATACTCATTCTGAGATTCCAGCCCAGTAAAGAGAGATCCTGAGACAGATTAGGGCAGGCTTCCCCAAACTCCGGCCCTCCACATGTTGCTGAACTACAACTCCCATGATTCTATGAATGAAATAGATAGGCTGGGAATCATGGGAGTTGTAGTTCAGCAACATGTGGAGGGCCGGAGTTTGGGGAAGCCTGGATTAGGGACTACTTGGTATATTTCCTGACAATTCTAGGCTCTGCGCTGAGCTACCGCCGTCTAGAACTGTCAGTATATTTGCTGTGTTTATCCTGCAGTCTCAGGGGATCCTCCATGGATGTCAATGCTGTAATCTTGTGCATGCGCGAGAGTACACCAATCCTGTCTGCTCCTGGCGCCGAAGCAGAAGAGGACCAGCCGGAGGAAGATGGTTCGCTGACTTTGACATATTATCTATCAAACCTGTATTTACAGTGTGGCTATTTAAATGGTTCTTTCTATTTATAATACTATACTGAGCATTATTCAATAGGTTCCCCCTAACCCCATACAAAAAATAAGTCCAATAAAACCTGGGGGAATCCAGTGCTTCACCAAGCGCTGCTCTTGTCTTATAAAGTGCTCCATCTACAGCCCTGAGCCGGTGAGGGTAGGAAGCGGTGGACAGGGATGAGAGGGGTCGATAACAAGTTAAATAAAAGAAGCATTAATATTTTTGGGGGCAGGTGGGATCGAATGAAAGGAGGAAGGTAGATTTTAGCATTCCTTTTGGAGGCTCACTGCATACAAAGCAGAAGCTCGTTACCCGTCACCAGTGTGCATTGCGCCATGATGACAGATATACATTTTGCACAGAACTAACATTGGGCATCCTGGAACAGAATTATCGGCTTTCTAGGGGTGCAACTAGCCCACTGTGTGAAACCGAAAATATCTCAATATGTGCTGAGTTTAGAGCTTCACAAACAGACTCCTACAACCATGACCACTTCTAAAAGTCCAAGTAGTCATGGTGTTTGGAGTAACGCGTTGTCTGATTTGTGTGCAATTTGTAGCCATGTGTCACAAAGCAAGGCTGGCAGTAACGGATTTACCCAATATTAATAATACATCTATTTTTGGTGCTTTTAAAAAAAATTTAATTTTTTTTTGTATTTAAAACATGAAAAACACACCTAGTGTGAAGGAACCCTATAGTGTCAGGTACACAAACCTGTATCCCAGACACCATAGTGTTAAAATAACAAATAATATCCTCTCCACCCATTGCAGTAAAACTCCATGGCTGAGATAGTCAATCTTGATCATCTCAACCAACCCAATGCTTCTCCACAGAAATACATTGTAAGGCGACTGTGCATGATACAAGCTGTATACTGTACGATAAGCTGTATACTGTACGATAAGCTGTATACTGTATAATAAGCTGTATACTGTACGATAAGCTGTATACTGTACGATAAGCTGTATACTGTATAATAAGCTGTATACTATACTGTACGATAAGCTGTATACTGTACGATAAGCTGTATACTGTACGATAAGCTGTATACTATACTGTACGATAAGCTGTATACTGTATAATAAGCTGTATACTATACTGTACGATAAGCTGTATACTATACTGTACGATAAGCTGTATACTTTATAATAAGCTGTATACTGTACGATAAGCTGTATACTATACTTTATAATAAGCTGTATACTGTACGATAAGCTGTATACTGTATAATAAGCTGTATACTGTATAATAAGCTGTATACTGTACGATAAGCTGTATACTTTATAATAAGCTGTATACTATACTGTACGATAAGCTGTATACTGTACGATAAGCTGTATACTATACTGTACGATAAGCTGTATACTATACATTAAGCTGTATACCGTACATTAAGCTGTATACTATATATTAAAGGGACACTGTAGGCACCAAGACCACTTCAGCTCATTGAAGTGGTCTGGGTGCTGTGTCCCTTTTGCACTTAGTGCTGCAATGTAAAACATTGAGTTCCAGAGAAACTAGAATGTTTACATTTTAGCTCTAAGTCTGCCCACAGTGGTTGTCTGCCAGACAGCCCCTGGGGGCGCTTCCGGAATCCCAGTGGACTTTTGGTCCGTTATCTGACGCTGGACGTCCTCACGCTCTGCATGAGGACCTCCAGTGTCCGATTTTTTTTTCCCCGTAGGAAAGCATTGATTCAATGCTGTCCTATGGGGAGGTCTAATGTGCGCATGGCATTTGCCGCGCATGTGCATTAGACGTCGGAGGGGGTGGAGCTTTGACCCAGCGTCAAGGATCATCAGGGCTGGAATAAGGTAAGTAAATGTATTTACTGGGAGGGGGGGAGGGGGGAAGAGAGGCAGAGGGATTAAGCTGTATACCATACGTTAAGCTGTAGTTGTGGTGACTATAGAGTCCTTTTAATGTCTTTTAGTTTATTTCCTATAAATTCTCCCTTATTTTTCCAATTTAAGAATAAAAACCTATATTTTATTAGTTTAACCCCTTAAGGACCAAACTCTGGAATACAAGGGAATCATGGCATGTCACACATGTGACCCTGGGAATCTGCCCCTTCACCCATGACTCCGGGAATCTGCACCTTCACCCTGTGACTCCGGGAATCTGCACCTTCACCCTGTGACTCTGGGAATCTGCATCTTCCCCCCGTGACCCTGGGAATCTGCATCTTCACCCCGTGACCCTGGGAATCTGCATCTTCACCCTGTGACCCTGGGAATCTGCCCCTTCACCCCGTGACCCTGGGAATCTGCCCCTTCACCCCGTTACCATGGGAATCTGTCCCTTCACCCCGTAACCCTGGGAATTTGTCCCTTCACCCAGTGACTCTGGGAATTTGCCCCTTCACACTGTGACCCTGGGAATCTGTCCCTTCACCCTGTGACCCTGGGAATCTCCTGCTTCACCCCGTGACCCTGGGAATCTGCCCTTTCACCCCGTGACCCTGGGAATCTGCCCTTTCACCTCGTAACCATGGGAATCTACCCCTTCATCCCGTAACCCTGGGAATTTGTCCCTTCACCCAGTGACTCTGGGAATTTGCCCCTTCACCCTGTGACCCTGGGAATCTGCCCCTTCACACTGTGACCCTGGGAATCTTCCCCTTCACCCCGTGACTCCGGGAATCTGCCCCTTCACCCTGTGACCCTGGGAATCTGCCCCTTCACCCTGGGAATCTGCCCCTTCACCCTGGGAATTTGCCCCTTCACCCAGTGACTCTGGGAATCTGTACCATCACCCTGTGAACCTGGGGATCTGCCCCTTCACCCAGTGACTCCGTGAATCTGCCCCTTCACCCTGTGACCCTGGGAATCTGCCCCTTCACCCTGTGACCCCGGGAATCTGCCCCTTCACCCCGGTTCAGAAAACACAGATTGGATTAAAAGGCTACAATTTAAGTTTTGTTTGTTTTTATTTAAACAAAAGATCATGTAAATGTATAATAATAACAATAATAAGCGTTATGTGAGACGCCGGCGGTTTCCTGTGGGCGATGTTATATATTTATTTATGTATTTTACCCTTATTAATGGCGCTGGTGTTTGGTGCAGCCAGAGCGTACTATGCCGATAAGTTTAACCCCTGCAGTGCCATGCATGTGTACAGAACCATGGAATTAATATGCGGTCACGCAGCATTGCTTTTTGGGATGTGTGTAATGTACTGGTTAAAGGGTTACTTCAACCACCATAACCACCTCTGCTTTTCAAAGTGATTACGGTGGTAGGGGTCTGTATGTGTGATGAGGGCTGGTTACATCCCCGGTACTCTGTTTCTCTGGCGCCTAACATCAATTGTGCGCTAATATTACTGCGTGCTGGTGACGTGAAATTAGCTTCTCCCACCCTGCGCTCCCCGCCTCCGCCTGCTTTCAAAATGTATTTTAAAAAAATAATAATTAAAGTCCTCCCCCACATCCCTCCCCTCACCGATTTCAGAGCGCGTGCATTTGCGCTAAGCCGGTGAAACCGTTAGATGAAAGGCTTATTTTTTCTTTTTGAGAAGTATTTGATTGGACCATGGATGACGTGATGTGACATCAGACAGGGTGTGGAAATGAAGCGAGGAGGACCTTGCTCCGTTCTTAAGTCAAGCTAAGTTTTAGAAGTTTTAAATAAATAAGGGGGTGGACAAGATCACGCTAGTGACACAATGTCACAAAAAGTGTAACCCTTTGATGCCACATTCTGGCCAGACCATGGGATGGGGGGGCCCCACTTGCTCGCTATTATCAGGAGGTGAGGGGCCACAGTCTTGCTACGCCTGGTACAGTTGGGTTATGTTATCAATATTAAATATAAATACCCAGTTAATGGACCATCGTGACCCCCTGGACAGGTTACACTCTTTGATATTGACACGTGAGCCCCATGTTACGTTAGAACCAATGCTTATCACCAATCTGTGTGTCTACTCGCCTTCTGTAAATATAAGTCTAATCCTTTTTAAATGCTCACCAAACACATTAACTAAATTCCTCTTTTACCCGCATTCATAAAACCAAGTCTGGAACTTTAAGAAAGCCTGTGAGATGCAACCCGTTGTCCTGACACTATAGCATCCCTAGGACCCCCCCACCCTCAGTGTCCCCCTCCCTTGGCGCTGAAGGAGTTAAAACCCCTTCAGCCACATACTTTAATCCAGCACCGGGCT